ACGGCGAGTGCTCGGACCATTTCATGATTCTCTGAAAACTGCTGAAACGCAAAGACGGGAACATCTGCTCAACGCATCGTCGCTGCAGCTTGGAACAGAAAATCTAAAAAAAAGATACACAAATCCGAACAAAACGCACCGTCCTTACTCCCGTCTCATTCCTTCATCATCAGAATCCAACATCTGCCGAACAGCGATTGCCCCACAAATCTATTTTACCCAATTTCCATTCGATTTCTCTGAAACAGGAGACGGCTATAATTGCTTGTGCCGTGATGCAGCCATCTACGGACATTTCCCCGACTGCCGGTGTTGCCAAACTCCGGCTCATTATGGTCGATCCTGATGGACTTTTGGCACTCGCCGGCTGGGAAAGTCTTGTCCCAAATATGTGCGTGGCATTTTGACAGGTTTGATGCTTAATAGGGTGCAGAGGAAGTCCGACAGCTCACCGTGAATGAATAGAAGTGTTTGTGACCTCTGCGGCGGAGAGGAGCACGGTCGTAATGGTGCTATAATGGCCGTAATTTAAGCCGGTGGTTGTGGATGTAGGGATGATGGAAGGACTGGTTAAATATGGGCACCGTTCTTGCATAGTTTGTTGTGTTTTGCCTTTTCAAACTGAGTAGTTTTCCGTTATGGTTAAAGCTTGTGAACTTTCCATCCCCTGAACAATAGAACTATAAAGACAAGTTCAAGTTCTAGCTCTGCGTAACAACTAATTTATTTTGTTGTTTTTACTGCCCATTGTCCATGATTTAAGAACTAATTTTATGAGGTCATTCACAAGAAAGTTCTGTTTTGGCTGTCTGAAGGTAAAATGTTAAGTTGGCTATTTAAAAATGAAATGTTTTGTTTGGTCTCTTTAGTGGAGAAGGCCTGGACACGGAGACAGAAAAAACGTTATCCGGAGCTGAGATGTTTGTCGTTGCTTGGCGTTGACCCTCTTTCCTTTTGTGCATGACACTTTGATAAAATTAATTAAGTCATTCATTTATTCATTCATTCTTTCAGTTCCTTGCTCTCAAAATAAGGTTTCATCGGTTTTCACATGCATGTATAATTGGTCACATCGGTAGATCAGTTTTTTCATATAAAAGAGGGGGAAAAAGGACAACAAAGCAATACATAACTTGATTTGGGGTTAGATTCTATTTATTTATTACGGGAGTATCTTAAGGGAGTATTTGAGTTTTAAACATTAGACCTGTGACAATTAGGCCCTTCAGTTATTTATGGAAGTATGGAAGCAGAAGTAAATATAACCAACGACCTATTAATGCCTAAACTTAACCAGCTATTCCCATAAAATAACCCCAACCCAGCCTTAGCCCTAACCTTAACCATCTTAATCAGACAACTAAAACTTAACCAGTCACCACTAAAGGACTTATTAGTCTAAAACTAATACGAAAGTAGGATTGTTACTTCCGGTTTTGTCCCGATTCCGTACATGATCTGGAGCCGACCAGTAATCTGCACATCAGAATTACAAGCAGAGGGTGCGTTGCCAAAGGGCAGCGGTCATTATTGTTTTGAAAGGTCCGTTATCAAGAAATAATGAGCGGTAGAACGTTTTGAAATTACGTTCAAAACAATGTGTTCTACTGCTGCTGTGAGGAGCCGTGTAATAAGGTATGATATCAGTGTAGTATATATAAAAGGTGTCCTACATTCTTATATATTTATCTGTGCACATATTTGTTCCAATACTGTGAAGTTTTTCTGCACGTGGAACTCGTGTTTTGAAAAAATGAAAGCACCTATTTTACTGTCATTTACCGGATTGCCTGAGTAATTTATTTCACACACACACACAGAAAAAGACTGAACATATGACATATTTGACACCTTTGCCACTGGTGGGTTTGTCTCCTGTGACATCAGACTCGGGGAAAGTAAACAAAATAACATGCATCAATTGTGTCACCATCTGTCATTGGTTACAGCACACAATAATATTTTCTAATTGGATGTGAGAAGTCTGGCTGCACAGTAATTCTCCAGGTACGTACTTATTGACTTGCAAACACCTGCAGCTGTCAGGACTTTAATATTGCCTTTAGAATTGCTCTTTTGAAGCATACGGGATGTTAATGTACAAACAGAAAAGAACCGGCACTTTTCTTCATTAGGACGAGTTTCGGATGACAATGTTTTATCTCAAATCAATCTTGTGCATGAGTCAAGAAAAAACAGAAAGAAAAAAAACGTTCTTTGGCACCGTCCACGCATACATTTTATGCTAAACCCCACGATTATAGCCAAAGGGACGTCATTTCCATGGTAACACGTGGGAGGATCCGCCTTGACTCCGTGTTGGGATTGAAGGACACATTTTTATTGCAGTGCCACAGAACTACTCTACACTCAAATGTAAATATTTCTGTAATTTTAATTTCTGTTTCCAACCTTAACCCTATTTGACAAGAAATGATGGCTTTCGTTACAGTCTGGATCCAGGATGTTTCTGGAAAGGAATGAAAGTGCACCTCTTGGCTCGAGTGTAGTTTTTCTAATTAGGGTATTTGTTTGAAAGTTTAATAATAATAATAATAATAATAATAATAATACATTGCACCTAAAGGTACAGTATATAGGAGGATATTCCCAAATTTTATGAACGAACCGCCCTCTTCTCTTTTTGAACAACACTCTCTGTTCTTATTTGCCGAGCACGTATCACCAGAATGATTGACAATTGAGAGGACCAATAGTATGGATGATCCACCCGGAAGTAGAAAATCTTCCTTGTACAGCTTTAAGCAGTGCTTTTTTGGACCCTCTTTCTTCCACTGAAAAATATAAAATACAGTATTATGTGTGCTCCTTATTCCTACTGACCTCTAACTGGTGATGCAACACTGGAATTTTCCCTTTGTGGAAAAAAATAAAGAATCTCTTAATCTTAACCTTAGATGCTTTATAAAGAGACAGGAAGAGAGAGAAAATAAAACAAATCCAGAATAAACAGTTGTAGTTGTAAGTGAGTCTGAGGTCCCTATGAGTTCCGGAAGGTGGGGGTAACTCCAGCAAAGGCTCAGTCCCCCAGGGTTCAGAGGGCTAGGTCTCTCGGGGTTCAAAGAGCTCGGTCTCTCAGGGTTCAGAGGGCGCGGTCAGTCAGGGTTCAGAGGGCTCGGCCTCTCAGGGTTCAGAGGGCTCGGCCTCTCAGGGTTCAGAGGGCTTGGTCACCAGTGTTGGGCACGTTACTTTGAAAAAGTAATTAGTTATAGTTACTAGTTACTTCTCCCAAAAAGTAACTGAGTTACTAACGGAGTTACTCCACTATAAAAGTAACTAGTTACCAGTAAAAGTAACTATTGCGTTACTTTTTCGTTTTGTTCTGGAACATAATGTGCACTCGAGGTGCGCATTTTTACCTTTAACCTCAGTGAGTCTGAAATAGTGCCAATATTTCCATCTAGAAAAGGCTGTTTTGCTGCTGAAGTCCTGTTCACTCTTCATCTCTGTCTGTGCTGTAAAGCCCGCCACTGTGAATGTGGAAACACCGGTGAAGCACTGACTTCAGTCCAATCAGATGAACATATACATCATATAAATCAAGTGGACAATTTGTTTGGCTACAGCAAAATATGTTTTATGCCCGCATTGTTTGTTCATACAAAACGCAAAACTATGAGTTATGGGTCTTACCTTATAGCTATACCTTATAAATGACCTGCACAGTCCACTTTGGTTCAGACCAGTTCCTTGTTTAAATCCAGTGAATGGTTTGAGCGTAGATATGTAATCCTCCATTTGGAAATGAGTCCAATGAGTTTTAAAAAGTAAAACAAAATGCGTGTGTCCTCCATAAACTCCTCTGTTTTGCTGCAGCCGGCTGCATCCAATTTCTAAAATCAACCGTCTTACACTTCACCTCTCTTTCTTATCATTCCTATAGTAATTGAAAAATTACCCTATGTGCATTTTAGATTATGTAAAAATGTGTTATATGTATGTTAGCCAAACCTGTTGCTGTCCTTAGCAGATAAACCAGGAAGAGCAAGGAGCTTATCGATGGAATTGTATGCAGCCTTCTGCGCTCACATGCGCTACTCTGTGGCTGACCTCACGGTGATACAAGCCGTGGTAGAGTGTGATATTTGTGATATTGTGATATTGTGATATTACCCATATTTGTTTCAAAAACACAATTTATGAGCCATCCTCTCAACTGTAGACATGTAGATTGTAAAGGAAATATGTTTTACATCAGCCAATAATTCGGGCGTTCTGCTCTCCCAAAATTTCATCCACTGAGCGGCGCTGTGATCAAAAAATGACACCGTTTGTTGCCCAGTTCACTTCCGGTTGATTTCATACAATGGCGAATATGGCTCACGAAAACAACAAACGATTGACAGTGCCTGAATTGCGTGAAAGGTTGAAGCGAAAGGGTATTTGCAGTGTGGGAAAACGAAAGGAGGAATTGTTGTTGCTAGTTCAACAAGCGGATGGTGTTTATGAAGATTTAGAAGAAAATGACAGCGAGCAGAGTGAACGAAAACGGCTGTGTGTGCGAGTGACAGATGGTAACAATGAGAATGAAGTTCAGCTAAGAGGGAAGAATGTGAATTGGACGGATGATTTGCGCGATATGCCACTAGTTAGAGACGGGAATGTATTTGCATACAGAAAATGACGAAAACACTCAACCATTTAGAGAAAATGCGCCGGGCAGAGAGAACCGGAAGTTGCGAAGGCAAGTGTTACCCATAATGCAACGCAAAATTCAGTCGCTCCTCCGCCCATCGGATGGAATTTTGGGAGAGCAGAACGCCCGAATTGCTGAGAGGTTTTCTCATCCTCCCTTCTCTCATGACAACACGTTCATTGTGCGTCTTGAGTAACGCGCAGTAACGGGATGTCGGAAATGATAACGGCGTTATAGTTACTGTCAAAGTAATTAGTTAGATTACTCGTTACTGAAAAAAGTAACGGCGTTAGTAACGCCGTTACTAGTAACGCCGTTATTCCCATCACTGTTGGTCACTCAGGGTTCAGAGGGCTCGGTCTCTCAGAGTTCAGAGGGCTCGGGCTCAGTCTCTCAGGGTTCAGAGGGCTCGGTCACTCAGGGTTCAGAGGGCTCGGTCTCTCGGGGTTCAGAGGGCTCGGTCTCTCAGGGTTCAGAGGGCGCGGTCACTCAGGGTTCAGAGGGCTCGGTCTCTCAGGGTTCAGAGGGCTCGGTCTCTCAGAGTTCAGAGGGCTCGGGCTCGGTCTCTCAGGGTTCAGAGTGCGCGGTTACTCAGGGTTCAGAGGGCTCGGTCTCTCAGGGTTCAGAGGGCTCGGTCTCTCAGGGTTCAGAGGGCTCGGTCTCTCAGGGTTCAGAGGGCGCGGTCACTCAGGGTTCAGAGGGCTTGGTCTCTCAGGGTTCAGAGGGCTCGGTCTCTCAGAGTTCAGAGTGCGCGGTTACTCAGGGTTCAGAGGGCTCGGTCTCTCAGGGTTCAGAGGGCTCGGTCTCTCAGGGTTCAGAGGGCGCGGTCACTCAGAGTTCAGAGGGCTCGGGCTCGGTCTCTCAGGGTTCAGAGTGCGCGGTTACTCAGGGTTCAGAGGGCTCGGTCTCTCAGGGTTCAGAGTGCACGGTTACTCAGGGTTCAGAGGGCTCGGTCTCTCAGGGTTCAGAGGGCTCGGTCTCTCAGGGTTCAGAGGGCTCGGTCTCTCAGAGTTCAGAGGGCTCGGTCTCTCAGAGTTCAGAGGGCTCGGGCTCGGTCTCTCAGGGTTCAGAGTGCGCGGTTACTCAGGGTTCAGAGGGCTCGGTCTCTCAGGGTTCAGAGGGCTCGGTCTCTCAGGGTTCAGAGGGCTCGGTCTCTCAGGGTTCAGAGGGCTCGGTCTCTCAGGGTTCAGAGGGCGCGGTCACTCAGGGTTCAGAGGGCTCGGTCTCTCAGGGTTCAGAGGGCTCGGTCTCTCAGGGTTCAGAGGGCTCGGTCTCTCAGGGTTCAGAGGGCTCGGTCTCTCAGGGTTCAGAGGGCGCGGTCACTCAGGGTTCAGAGGGCTCGGTCTCTCAGGGTTCAGAGGGCGCGGTCACTCAGGGTTCAGAGGGCTCGGTCTCTCAGGGTTCAGAGGGCTCGGTCTCTCAGAGTTCAGAGGGCTCGGGCTCGGTCTCTCAGGGTTCAGAGGGCTCGGTCACTCAGGGTTCAGAGGGCTCGGTCTCTCAGGGTTCAGAGGGCTCGGTCTCTCAGGGTTCAGAGTGCGCGGTTACTCAGGGTTCAGAGGGCTCGGTCTCTCAGGGTTCAGAGGGCTCGGTCTCTCAGAGTTCAGAGGGCTCGGGCTCTCAGGGTTCAGAGGGCTCGGTCACTCAGGGTTCAGAGGGCTCGGTCACTCAAGGTTCAGAGGGCTCGGTCACTCAGGGTTCAGAGGGCTCGGTCTCCTATGGTTCCACTCTTTGTTCTGATGAGAGTGAGGAGGTTGGAGTCGGCGGGTCTGAGTTGGCGGGAGGGACTTTGCTCATGGAGGAGGTGGTTTATGTAAGGGGGGGCGGGGAGCTTGTAGGTGATGACGAGGACCTTATATTTTATGCGGCTCGAGACGGAGAGCCAGTGGAGTTGTTTGAGGATGGGGGTGATGTGGTTTCTGAAGTGAGTGTGGGTGAGCAGGCGGATGGCAGAGTTCTGGATATATTGCAGATGAGAGGGAGTGACAAAAGTGACAGAGGCCTTAGTGACATTTAAACATGGGTCAAATGCAGAGAACAAATTCTAAAAAGACAATAAAGTATCTTACCTTATCTTTAAAGTTATTAATCCTTATGGGGCCAAGAAAAGCAGAGTAGACTTCCAAGTATAGGTGGGACTTTACACCCTCTTACCCCTCTAGTCCCCTTCGTTGGTCTGTCTCAATCTCACACTTCTTACTGGACCATTAGCCCATGATTATTTATGACATTATTAAAAAGTACATTGTTTTTTTCATGGTCACGTTTGATCAATTGTAAAAGTATTGGACCAATGTACTCCAGAGAATGTTGATTTGGACATGGATCCTCTCTCTCCTCTGGTGGTTCTGCCAAACAAACTCACCACGTCCTCACCTTTGCTGCCAGAAAGAACATTTTATGACAGTGGATCAACAAAAAGGGTCCAAAGGATAAAATTTGATATCCCTAAGGATCATTTCACCTGCCGAATACACTCTAGGTTTGACGCTGACTTTCTTCACTATTTGGGATCTCTAATTGTGATATGAATAGTTTATATGTAAAAACAGACACAAGGCATTAAAAACATTGGAATAGTTTACAATTTGATCTTTACCAATGAGTTAGATGAAAAGTCAGATTGTATTATAGTGCCAAAGTATGTATTCTTCACATGTCAAATCTAAACTTTACGTGTAGTCCGATGCTGAATATTATGTTTGCATTACATTTGTATGTGGGAGTAAGTGTGAATCTTTTTAGTGTTGTAATGTGAAGTCTGAAAACCACTGTCGTACGTTTGATTGCAGATTTGGCGGGAACACAAATCATTATTATTTTTTGTATATTTACGTTCTGACCGGGAATTGAACTCCGGTCGCAAAACTCTTATACCCGGTGAGAACACTTCAGTCCTCCCAAAATACTGGTGGGAACATGTCACCACGGCCCCCACGCAAACCTACGCCCCTGCTGATAACCCAAAACATGGAAAAACAAATGTTGAATTGGCAGCAGAGTTCAAAATGTGTAAAAAAAAACACAAAAAGTGCTGTTTTATAGAGCGTACATGATGGAATATGCTCTGACAGCGGTGCTCTGCTGTTGGCACATGTAGCGTAATTGATCGCAGTTGGATGATTGTGTCTCGTGATGGCACTGAAGATGTCATTACCTCTAATTTCCCTGTAAATCACAAAAGCGTTTGCTCCGAATGAATCATTGTATCAGGGCTGGAGTTGGATGTGTTCTAATGCGATGTCACAACACGGTGTCAAAGTGGGCTAGCGGAGACGAGACCCGAACGCTTTGATAATTCCCAGAACTGACATTGCTGACAGCCGTAAACGCAGCCAATGGCAATCTATTCAAATCTGCTATTCTCAAAAGCCTCAACTGTGGATTATTCAAATACAAAAATGTGTGGCCAGAGCAGCAGGGGGTAAAATAGCTTCATCTGTCTTTGGCGGCAAAAGTGAGGTGCAGGGAAGCAAGTGAAACAGCGATACATAACACTGACATTTTTTAATAGAATTCATTTATAACAAATGGAACTGGTGTCAGCAAAGAACTGATTTCCATACAGTCCATCTCTCGCCATCAATGGAACCTAAGTAAGAAAATAAAAAGCACTCCTTTCATTCAAATAAAACAACTTACAACTAATCAGAGGTATTATCTTTTTAACAAGCCATTTTTTTCTTTTTTTTAATACAATTTCATTATTTAGTTTATCAGTCTATGCATCCAGACGAGAGATAGATAGAGAGAGCAGAGAACACAACGTTTATTTCTGTTAATGACACTCCAAGCTTGAGCCACAAGAACGAAATGGTCGGGGGTAAATCCTCTGAAGAGTCGTCTGATGTAGTTCACCGTGGCATCAGGGCAGATGCTCTTTTTCCCACAAATGTTTTTTTCTTTTCATTTTCCATTGATAATTTATAGCCTTTTTGTGTTATTTACATACACACAACGTGGATTTTCTTGTATGGATGGGTTCAAGTAATAGATTATTGGGTTTAGAATCAATAGGGCAGTGCATAGTACAAAGATAAGGGAAAGTGCAAATCTTCCGATACCAGGCCACCGCAGACCACGCTTTGCCAGGCATGCGACAGACCCAAGAAATCAACTGAAGGACAATGTGTGAAGACAAACAAAAGACAATGTATAACAGCATTTTGATTTTACAATTATGACCAAATGAATACATTAAAGGCACCCTATTATGCTGCTCCAAGACAGTTATGTTTGTATTGCAAAAACCGGCTGACAATTAACATTACACATGATTTTTTAATTGATGTGAATATGGATGAAAATTAGCCTACATGGCTAACTTTGGCACATTTACACACTGGAGAAAAAAAAGATATGAATCTGCATTGTCCTAATTTAAATGAAATGAAATAAAAATATGCAGGAAATATTTTGGAAAGTGCATAATGTATAGACTCTTAATAATGTCTTTATTATTTTTATATCTCAATCTCTTGATCTATAAAATTAGTCTCCCCTTTGAATCCTCCATGTATTAAAAGCAAAAAAAAAAAAACAGCTAGGTTTGTTTCAATGGACGTCGGAGGAGTATGAATTACTCTAAAAACATGATAAAAAAATGCACGGTACATCCCCTTTAAAACGACTCGGCCAAAGTTTGTTTTTCGGTAGGAGAAAAAACTATCTCTTCACTAAAAAAATTAGTGAATCGGAAAATAATTGCATGACGAATCAAAGAGAAGGAATCATTCTTTGCCGCGCTAATTGCAATTTCTTTCAATTTCTCTTTCTTTTGGCTAAACCTCTTATGACCAGCATAAAAAACAGCACATTGACGATGCATAATAGGGCTCCTTTAAGCACACACACACACACACACACACACATATATATATAGTGGCTTGAGTCGGGAAAGAAAGCACCTGGAATGCACATCCACAAAGCCATCTTAAAAACTATAAAATAAACCGTTAACCGAGTGTCATTTTTCCACTGCTGTGTGAGGATTGTCAGAATAACACAATCAATGTTTTATATATATACTCTCTTCATCTGCTCTGGACAACCGAACCCATGAGGTCGGAACCCTTTGGTGGAGTGTGTCGTTTCCATAATTACTGCCATAACCTTTCGCCTTCTTTTTATTCCACGAAACAAAATAAATAAATACAAATATGCGTGGAAACTATTGCGTCCTCTTGAATCGAGGAGGTTTCGGGAAAATATATAAACGGCTTATTCTAATTCACTCCAGCCACTGTAAGGCCACTGAAAATGAAACGTTGACAATGTTCTTGTTTGCATATATAATCTCATCGTATGACAAAGCAATAGTATCGTGTAAATAATCTAAATTACATTGAAATTAACCACAGGCATATATATAAGGCACTATAAATGTTTAAATAATTCATGGTTTTGATGGTCTTTGTACCATTGCCCTATTGCGCGACCCCAATTAATTATTTGTATGAAGGAAACTGTAATGTCAGGAGTGGACAATAAAACAATAAATGATAAAAAAAAAAAAAAATCCCGATAAAAACAGATTTATTGCACAAGAAAAAAATGCACTCTTTCGGATTACATTTCGATGTGCATTCCAGTGAATAATCACTTCTTTTCCCCCATAAACATCCTAACCATCTCAGACAGCCGTCATTAAAACATCTTTCATATAAATTAGTCTTTTATGAATATATTTTAATTATCCAGGTATCCTTTTACATATATATTACATATATTTGACATCTGTATATATATTTATACGTTCATATGCTATCCGACGTGTCCCGTTCGTTCTTAAGGTCATTCTTACATGGAAGAACTCAGATAATAGCAGCAACTTCATACTTTGCTCCTCCCTGTTGATTCCACAAAGCCCGGTTTCAATTGATGCGAGTTATTCTGTGTATAATGACAAAAATGGACCAAAAAAAACATGAAATTTAACACAAAAATAATTCAAATACATTTTGGTAGTAAATTTCAAATCCTATAAGTGTGACAAAGTGACAGGGGGGGGGGAAATAACACACAATAAAAATCAAAAATGTATCTTCTGCCCGGAAAAAAACGCACGTTATGTCAGAACAGTTCTACAGCGTGAAATAAAAAATACGTAATACATTTCATCACTTGGTTTGAAGCGATAATTCTGTGTAAAAAAAGGAAATCTGCACATATCAGCTGTATAATAAAGTACTAAAAAACTAAATCAATAATTTTATCTGTTTGTTTGATAGATCTCTGATGACCCTCCCCCACATTTCAAAGATGAACACTGAGACAGGAAAAGGGGGTTGTTGATAGTTATTATTACTTGTCCTGCTGCGTTGGACCAAGCCGTCGTCTTCTTTATTTTGTCGATGGTATGTGTAGTTGCTTGAGATAATTTTCTTTACAATGTGCATTTGCAGAGTTTGTCCTCTCCCCCAGCAGTTCCGTGTCCCTCCGTGCACCTCTCGTTTTACCGATTCGCAATCACTGACGCAATTCCAGTTTCCGTTCGCGAAACGAATCCTCGAAGCAAAACAAAAGTCGTTTTTTTCCAATCCATGTTGAAGCTTCGACAGTCAGGATTCCTAGAACGATTTTTGCGACAAGGCAAGGTTTGTCGGGGTTATACTTGGTCCTCTGGTAATAAACTTTTTTTAGTTTTTTTACAGATTTTTTATTTTGACGTCACATCCAACACATAATGAGTTGTTAGTTAAGAAGTTCGTTTTGAAGCAGGAATTTATGGCTCAGTAGAGAGGCTTGCTGCTTTTCTGAAGGGCCTTCTCTGCTTTTGTCTTCCCCGAATTGGCTCTCTTACGTTGCATAGTGATCAAAGCTTCCCAGGTATTCCAAGCCAGCGCGGTAACAGAACTGGTATTGATCCTACAAACAAAAGAACAGAGCCATTTAGCTTCAGCAGATCAAGATTTCTATGTTGTTGTGGTCCCAATGTGCTTTTATCTGAATAATTGGCCTGATTAACTGAGCTCTGAGCCTTGGCGGGATCTAAAAACCAATCCCCTGGAAAGCCATGAGCTGAGTTGTAGGATCCAATGATAATGGCCAATATGGATGCAAACAGGAATGCATTACCATGTGGGCGGGGGTGGGGGGTAACGCCGGGATAACTGCGGTGGCGGATTTAGGGCCTTCCCCCACCAACACATTGCAATGGGGGAACAAAGGGGGCATATCCAATAAGTTGTTAGTCACACCATACCTAATACAACAGTATATCTGGTTTTGAGGCCCCCCTCACGTTTTTCTAATGAGTCCGAAATTTATTCAAAAGCAAGAAACACGGAAGAGATCCCTAAAATGAGCACAGAATGTGGCATGGTTTAAAGTATCTGAAAACGTACACGTCATTTTATACAGGTGAGGATGTTAAAGGATAGTATGTCTTGTCTTCAACTTGCAGATCCGAATTCACCTCTGAAGTTGGGCTGACTTGGGCACACCTCTGTATGTCGGACCCTCATGGTCCGGTCCTCTGCTCTCGTAACATTTGTGACGGTCTGTAAAAATGTGCTACTACTCTCCCGCGGGTATCTTCATTCGCCTCCAACACCGATGCTGGAGGGTGGATGGAAAACCACCGGGGTCTCCTCCCCACCGCCAGCGCCGTGGGAAGGGACACCTAGGTTCCGAGCCGTGAGCAACATACCCCCGCCCACGAAACAGCCCCGAACAATGTCTAAAACTAAAAAGAAGGTGGCTGTCGTGCGCCATGGTACGCTACCCTACCAATGGACCGACATGGGCCCAGCCCTTGGCCAAAGTGAGCTCTGTTGCGGTGGTGATTTATGCCACGTTGGCCAATGAAGGCGAGACCAAGCCCTCTCCATGATTTGTGGGGCACACCTTGTTCAGGCCAGTCCGTGAACTGAAACTGCCTTACCGTCCGTGACTGGCCGTCCTGGGAACAGTCAAACCACAAATGAGAAAAGCATGAGACTCCATCATATTAGTGTGACTTTGACTGGTGCAGGAGTTCAAAACATAAAAGCTGGATCTCAAAGATGCCTGGGAATATTAGAATAAAAAGACTGCTGAGGCTAATTCCTTTGATGGGGCGTCCCTCTCAGGGTATTTACAAAATCAACGTTCAAGCAGAGTCTATTACGTATGTAATATTGTATCCCCTTGATAAGAGGAAAAAAAATCCTATTGAGAAGAGCGTTAACGTTTACTACAAAGGGAGGAAGCCTTTGATGGAATTAAAAGTCTAGCAGCTCCTCGCTTCCGGCCGCATTTGTTTTTACACATTGACACGTGTCATATTTTCATAAATATGTATTTATGTTCATGTTGCACTTAAGGCCATAGTCTTGTGTAAACAAATATGCCACATTTGGAGTTAATGAATCCTGCACAAGTACATTTGGACAGAGGGCATTTAGCAGCCAACCATTTAAACAGCTTCATTAAAGGCAAAGGCAAATTACATCCACGTCTTTGGAAAGCCAAACATTAAAGGGCAGGATAAAATACAAACATAATCAGAAGCGTAGTCGTCTGAGGACAGCTGCTGATTTATACATTACCATTAATTATAAAATGTCACTAGCGTTTGATGAAATAGTCTGTTTTCTTACCCTGGCGTCAGTCACTTTGAACTCTCTCAGGATGTACTGGGGCATGTTGTACTCGGCCATCGGGTCCACCACAAAGTACTGGTATCTGGCCGACCTCTCTGCGGGCCAATACTGGTGGCACTTTTCCTGTGGAAACAATAGCAGCACTTTGAAGTCACTCCTCTGGTTAAATCCGTTGGGTATGTGTTATTTTCAAGCAAAAGTGTATTCAGCCGTACCCTGCCCATTTCTCTGAGCTTAGTAAGCATGACCACAATGGTGGAGTTGTGTTCCCAAAGCATCCTCCAGAAATCCTCAGTGGTTTCTGCTAGTGGCCCCTGTGTGGCGATGTAGGCTTTCTGTTGCCTGAAGAAACACAGTAATAGAAGTTTGTCAGAATCACCGCCGTGTAATACCTTTTATTTGAAGGAGAAACTAACAAGACTACGATACCACGCACCTGTAGCCATCGATGAAGCTCGCGTTGATGTAGTCGGAACCCTCGACTCCTCGAATGGGCTGAAGACACACTCGGGTGGATTCGTATGGCATAATGTTAACAAGGCGGTTTTTGAACTTGTTGCATGGAAGGTTGGCACTGATGAATCTCGACGTATGGGCTTTAGTGTTTGCTAAACGCTGCGTTGGGGAGAAAATTCCTGCCGTTAGTGAGAGCGTATGAGGCACAACATAGTGACATTGCTTTTGTTTCTTTATTTCCCCAGTGACTGTCTGTGTTTGACACCCTGAGCAGATTGAACAAGATAAGATATGAGTCCTACGAACAGTTGCAAGCCGAGTGAGGAGAATCCAAAGCTGATTAAGTAGCTGATGAAATTTACACACTACTGCCTTGTGTTTTATACCGCTTCATGTGAAAATGAAGTATGGAACTAGCAAGAGATTACCATCAGAGTGTGTCGGGGGGAGCAGGGGGTGAACAAAAAAATACTCCATGATAAAACGACAAGGAAATGGAAACCTCGGCACGACAGGAGTGGACCGGGCCACAGTTTAATCTGATGCCTTCTCACCCTTAAATGGAATCCATCAAAAACATATGACAGGTCTTTGACAGAGAGAGGTACCCCTTTAAACTGTGATATTCACTGCAAAAAGAGATGAAAAATAAGCCGAAAATTGCTCAAATTTGGCATAATATGAGCACATTCTGACTGCCTTAAAACAAGATTTGCCAGTGAAGTGAAATTATCTTGTTTTAAAAATGTAATGAGAAAATTAAGCAACATATCTTGAATGTACTCAATAAGATTAAAACCACTCGATTCAAGCAATTAAAACCTCATATTGGATTTTTTTTTTTTTATAGTGTTGTGAATATGCTCTGTACCACATTAGCTGTTCTGGCAGCTGTTAACGGCAAAGTCAAAGTCTATGTTTGGCATTTGATTGGGAAAGAAGACGACAAACCAGCAACAACGGAAACTATATTGTATAGGACTGCGATGACTGGTGCAGGGAGTCAAATATCTGGCAAAGGGAAAATCACAGGCCCCGTTTAGTCTCACGGACCAATGGCTCTGGAACACTGTCACAACTGTTACAAACCCCAATAACTAAACTTTCTAAGATTTGACCATATACAGCAATATTAGTGACCTACACACACACACAAACATACAAACACACATACACAAACTGCCTAAAATGTATTAAACCAAATTAGAGTCCCCCTCGCTCCCCTCATGATGCAAGATACAAGAATTTGCCATTTATTTGCCATTGGCAGTAAAACCACATTGGTAAAACTGTGCAAGACTACCCCAGAGCTGTTGTCCTCTCCCTACATTCTTGTATTTCTTATCTGTGTCTGTATAACTCAATTTGTCGCTTCTATGCTTGAGGATTCCAATAAAAAAAATTAAAAAAAGCATAGCCCAACTCTTGCCCTTGCTTCCCATGGTCTAGGGTATGTCCTTTGGTGTTACCTTGAACTCCAGCTCCATGCCGGTGACGTTCTCGCCTCCTTCTATCTGCGTGAGCTTCTGGATGTAGGCATAGAGGTTTCGAGCGGGCACTTCGGTGGTGCCGCAGTTTACGGCCTCCAGGAGTGCGTCGTGTATAAAGACGTACTGGTCCTCCGTCTGCACCATGTAGTTCCTCTGGGCGCGCATTAGCGTCACGTGCCCGTAAATGTCGGCCGTCTTCTCGTGCTTGATGCGCTCCAACATGGCGTCTATCACGATGAAGCAGCCTGTGCGACCCACGCCGGCGCTGTGGGAGAAAAGTCAGAGATGTTTGACTTTTACCTACCATCGTAAAATCGTACCATCGTAAAATCGTACCTTTGTACCATCTAGGCAGAGATTTTAGACTTCTTTAATATGCTAAATCAGTGTTTTTTATTTTCTTGTTTTTTGTTCTTATGTATGCAACTTTCTGGAGGTCGCCCAAATGATTCCTTGGAAAACATTTATCATAATAATTTATTTTAGAGATACTAGAAATGTTGTATATCATTATAACGAAAGGCAAAGGAACAAAGGAAACTACATAAAAAAAAAATCAGACCACAATATGATTTTTTTGGTGCATTATTACAGTAACCATTTAATATTCTGTATACTTATAGGAAATAGCCCTGTTGACCCTGAGCTGATTGACCTCTCTGATGGCCCTCTCTCTTTCACTTTTTTGTCTGGTAAAGCATTCATGCTTTTGTTCACCTCTTTCACAACTGTATTGTGAAAAATGTGAACAAAAGCATGAATATGAAAACTATGGGAAAAAAACTGTTAAAAAGTTTGTTCAATCATGAGTCAGAATGATTGTATTACACGGCAAAGAATGATCAAATATGAGGTAATAATCAAATTTCAGTACATTCTGACTGTCTTAGAACAAGATTTTTGCCAATGAGACAAAGCTATTCGTCTTATTTCAAGAACTGTTGCTTTCTTTTCTCATTCCAATGGAGACATTTCTTGAATCATTAAAAAAAAAAGATTATCGTAATTGTCCCATTAGCATATCTTGTTTTATGGCAGTCAGAATGTGCTCAACTGCATGTACTTTTTGATAAATTTGAGCAGATTCTTGACTTATTTTTGCAGTGTACATAGCTACATGTGTGTGTGGTTTGAAAATTAGCAACCCCATCTTTTAAATGATTAAAATGATTACATATTAGTATTTAGAACCACTTCTTGACTTTGTAACCTGTGCAGCAAACAGACCCTCTATTGGAGTCAGATAAACACTCGCTTTGGTTCATCTTTTGCCCTGTGAGACCGGACCTGCTGCTAAACACATCCACCTGAAGAAGTCCCTTGCACCCGGCGATAAGTCCAAACAGAAGGCTTAACTCTTTGCCAGTAGAGTCTCTGTAGGACTGACCGCTTGACTCCGGGTGTAATTACATCTGAAGTGGATTGGTGTGCAGAGGAGTTCTTGGCAGGTACAGCCTTCAATGTTGCTCGCTCCTGGCTTCTTTTTTTTTTTTATTCTCCCCTTTCAGCTTGAATCTTCCCCCTTTGGATCCCACCTGTGCTCTCAACCCATCAGGGCTAATCACTTATGCGGCGGCAACATTTAACCTTTATCGCGGCTCTCTCCGGGAAGTGCCATTACAACAAACGCAACAACAAAAGTGGAAAGACAGATGCAATTTTGGAGGCTACGGTTTTTTGGAGGGCTTTATTAATGCATCCAAGCAACTGGCGAGAAGTGCAGCTAACTTTAATTAATGCCATTAGATTAGCACGGTGCACCCAAATGGCGTAAGAGCTGCGAAAGAGGTGCTGAAAGGCAGGTCTCTCATTAAGATTCACATTTGTACATTAGCGTGTAAAGAGCGTAAAAAGCACTCTTGTCGAACAGGGAAATGTTTTACAGCTTTGCTTTGACCTCAGCTTCAGCCGCAGCAGCAGCTCACAGACATGCTTGACTATTCATGTGTTTAATGACCCTGCTTGCACTTGTAAAGGAGCAGGGACATGTTTCATACACAGAGATACTTTACAAATATTGTATGTTTTGTTTCCATGAGTGCTGAACTTTGAAACCACAAAAAGGTACGATCTAAACAAATTCATGTGATTAGTTCCTTCCATCCATCCATCCATTTTCTTCCCCTTAATCCATTTTTGAGTCGGGGGGGTGGCAGTCAGAGCTGCACCCAGTACACAGAGCACCAGCCCCTCACTGATCCTCCTGCAGGTGCTGAGTCCACAGGAGCTGAGATCTTTCAGTTGGGGCTTTGGGCAAAGTAGGGTTCAGTGTCTTACCCAAGGACACAACGACAGTAGTCATCAGTGGGAGTCGTGAAGTAGGTCTTATGGTGGGCTCGAACCCACGACCTTCAGGCCCAAAGGCCAATGCTCTACCAACTGAGCTACTGTCGCCCAATAGTAAGTAGTTCCTATAGCTCTCAAAACTGTACGGTTCTGTCGCTTGTTTTCAAATCATGCATTTTTGGCCTCAGTAACACCCTCAGCCTAATATTATAAAATATACAGTGTTTCCTGATAAGATCAAGACAGATGACACTTAAACAAGACTCTTCTGTTGGAAAGAAGGCCCTCTAGATTTAATTAAACCTACTGTAGGATTGATATGAAGACATGTTTGTGATGCCTCTTTGACCTGCACGAGAGCAACCACTGAAGACGAGCCTGTTGGACGTGTGGTTGGCGCACTGCTGACAGCAAAGCACATTACAGTTTTATTAGTGCATGCCTCAGCAACAAAGATGGTTTGTGATGACAGTCTATTTACTGTGGGCATGACAGCCCTGTGCTCCACGTTTGTTAACTCCTCCAACACTTACAGGACAAGGAGTCCTTGCACTTGGTGCTCCAAAGTAAATAGGTTATTCAATCCATTAAGCTGACATGCCTACAAGGTATGAGCCTTCCACTTGCACCTTCTGTTTCTGATGGAGCATTTGTTTTTCATTTGCTCCGAGGAACAGGCAGAGGCTTGGGAAGAGAAAGTCGAGAGGGAGGAAAGTTGGTCCCTTGAGGCGAGGTTTGGTTAATGTTCCATGTCGCTCTGAGACTGCACTAAAGACACGTATGAGACTCATTGGCTTTAACAAACGATCCACTGATCACTTTCAAAATGGCCGACATTACCTCTGTGCTTTAAAGAGCCTTCCATCAGTGATAATGTACATTGCATCTGCAATTGCATTTAATGTCCTATTTTCTTTCCCAACTGTAGTTGGCTGAATAAAATACCGTACTAGCTAACCAACTGCAATATTACGGCCACAAAACGATGCCACATTATGAGGGATGGCTCTCTTGGAGGAAAAACGCCCCCGCCCTCGGCCAGAGGATGCTCTGAGAGGCCATTTCTCCCCTTGCTCCAGCTGCTGTAAATCTGGGGACATTTTTCCAGTGCACCTGAGTGTGTGAGAGTGATGACCTGTGCGAACGCCACTGACAGACGACATTTCCACAGAGGAGAGGAGACTGCGAGATGTGGCCCCAACTTCAGCACTAGTTTTTCCAAAGCCTCCAAAGCACAAAGCGATTTCCTCACAATGTAACAGCAGCATGGACATATTCTTTATGGACAAGTGTTAGTGTGAGGCGGTGCAGAAAGCCGGCTCTACATTTGGCAGTTGAAGGGGAAAGAGCTGGCGGACCGGCTGCACTAATGACCTGAAGCTGCCTTTTCAGCCAGTCAAGACCAGCTGCTTTGGAAGCCGACACATTACCTGTCAGACTAATATGCTTTGGGGGAGTGGAGGGAAAACGGGATGGGAGAGAAAGGGGAGCACTGTAGTCTACAGCTGCAATGAGTGCTAAGGAGATAAAGCGTGAGAATCGGTGAAAGCACTTACATATGTATTGTTAGCAAATCTCCTGACGTCAGCGAACGTGACACTATTTTTGCAAGAATGCACAAAATGTCTGTTGTTCAAACTATGTTGTCAAAATGTTAATGTACAGTCCAACCAATGTGAATTCAAAGGCATGCGAATGATTGAAGGCACCGATTAAACGAGTTATTGGCTGTGATTTGCAATGGATTTTTCTGTCTAAAAAGATCACAATGAAAAAAACATGATTACTATCCCTATGTCTCAAAAGATAACAATATGAAATAATGAAACAAAGGGACCATTAAACTGCATTATATATTTTGAGTGAAATAGGGACAGGAATCTTAACCTATTATTATTATTATTAAGAATATGAACAGTCTAATCATTTTACATTACTATCTATACCTCCAAATTGTATTTAAGGAGGCTAAAACGTCCACAAAGATTGGGTTCACATCCCCGAATGTAATTATGATTTTCAGACAATAAGGCGTGTTAAGGAGTGTTTATTTGAAGGTATTTGGTTCTTCAATACCCGACAATATTAAGTTAGCAATGTTTTTACCAGATGCTACTGAGGAAGACGGACATATACCATCAAAAAATGTCAAGGAAATAACATTGCTAACTGACTATTATCTGGTATAGAAGAACCAAAAACCTTTATTTCTACTAAGAAGACAAGACAAACCTACCTTTGTTTTGATCGAAAAGCCAAAAACATAATTATTTTGACAATTAACATGGTCGCCATTATCTGCAATCTGACCACAACTGACCCTATAACTCTATACAAAATATTTCTGCCAAATTCAAATATTAAAGTTATTACAAGACGTTATGATGTCACTACAACCAAACCACATCTTGAGGTAAAGGGTGTTGGGGCCAAGACAACTTCATTTTTCATTCGACAAAGCATTTTTTTCTCCCTGGTTTCCAATGGTTGCGTAAGGCCACTGATCTCCCCAGCTTTCAATCATGTCCTTTTGACTTGTTCTGCCCTGCCAACGGCTATCCAGGCCTTTACCTAAAGTAGCAAAACAGACGTGACCCGAGGGTTAGTGGAAAACACAATAAACTAAGAACCAAGGCGGGGAACGCGCTCTGCCGCTGCTAAGAAGGCCCTCACTCTCTCCTAATACAGAATGCAGCGCTGGTTTCATTATTAGTGGCTATGGTGGTCCCTCAATCCAAACATTGAAACGGTATGTGAGCTGTACTAGAGGTATGAGTTCTGAAAAACCGTTTAGAATCTAAATTCAATTCAACTGTGTCTTGCTTAGCCCTCGGAGGACAGAAAACCCATTGGTATTGGTCCATAAGGGGCAGATGACCAATGTTCATAAGTGTTGATAGATGTCCATAAATGTTATATTGAGTGTCCTGGATCATCACCAATCTTAACTCATATTAATTCGTAAAAGCAATTTGTCTTTCCTTTTTTTTCCCTTTTTGTTGATAACATGTGCCATTTACACATGATACGAAAATAGCCTCATTCCCACTGAGCAAAAACCTACTCCTTACATACACACTGGGCGACACAGGCTGGGTTGTGACAAAATGACTCTCCATTTTACCTGGATCTATTTTTTGCCAAGGCCTGAACACACTGGCAGAATTACTCGTGAGTTTGGAGAAGGTTGTAAATACATGCAAGTAACAAGGGGGAAAATACTTAACATAATAACGCGCGTGACAAGAGTGAAGCTTTTGCCCTCAAAGTCTGGGCTTTTTCATGCATTACTATTTATTTTTTAGTTTTCTTATATAATATATGTTTGACATGTTTTACATTATTGCACGAGGATGAGAAGCTTGCCCTAGAGTCCATTACAATGTTTTTACTTGGAGTCCTGGGTGCACTGTGCTAAAAATTGGAAGTTGTAGTATTTTGATCGTTTTTCCACACTGTCCTGTCTTCCCACGGGTCTAAACAACACGCCAAGCTTTCCTACTGTTTTTTTGGGTCAACACAGGTCAAAATACACGTGTCTTCAGTATGAAAAACCTATTGGATCTACATTCTATCTACTCTTTTCTCCATATTGTGATTGCAGTGAACGGAAAAGCCAAAAAAGTAATGATTAGAGATTGAAAAATTGACTTTTAACATCTGCAATCGAACTTAAACATTTTTACGAGACCGGGTGATGTCACTAAAACAAAACCATATTTTTATTCAAAACACATGTCTCAATTATTATAAACCGCAGCGTTCTGAATGCATTCCACCAGATTTTTTATGCTTTTTGGACTCAAAACTATAGCATTGCAGTTTTCATTGTAGTTTCATCATTTCTCCAGTAAGAAATAAAAAAAACCACTCCATTGGATATCTCTTCAAACTTTTGTATGGTACCTTTAGTGATTGAAAGGTGGGAAAATAATTAAAGCATAAGATTTACTTTGGCAATCATTCCAATCATTCCAGTATAATAATACAATACAATAATTGCTCAAGATTTAGAAATAATTATGATTGGTCCACTTTCACCTTGCCTTTTTAGCACACTGGCTAATTAATACTTCAAGTGTCTTTGTACCATGCTTTTTTTAACCACAGGCACACACAATCAGCATATTTGAAGTATCCGGACGCACAAAAAACGAGTGCAACTTTAACTAGCAATGACTTAACTCCGTGTAAAGATAGAAGATTTAGCAAAGAAATACTTATAGGATTTGTAGCGAGGCATGTCTTATCTGATGCTATGTCAGGAATTAGCCGCTCCCATCTGCAGACTGACATTAAATCCAACATTTTCTTTTATTGTTCAAGTCAGGATTTTCAATTTGAAGAGATTGGTCAACTCGACTAATTAACTTCAGCATGTGGTAATTCGGATTTCGGTGTAATCCCTCGTCCGCTTTTTTTTATCGCTTCCTGACACCAGTTTTGTATCTAGCCCTTTCTGTATTTTTTCTTTTTTTACGCAGCCAGAAGCTTGTCATGTCCTCTTTCTGCTGGGAGTTCGGCCTCGGCTTTTCAGAGGAGGCAAAAGTAAAGTTGGCATCAAAAGAAGTGAAGTTATTTGTTTCAGATATAATAACCCAAGGGAGAAGTTTGGGATTTTTTCTGCTGCTGTGCGACATGTGGAAAGGGAGAGAGAGAGCGGCAGGTCGTTGGAGAGGGGGCTGCGTGGGAGATGTTTAAGTTTGCTGAGGGCAAGGACACGGCTGCTCTCTGTGCCATGATGTCGTAAACATCTAGAGATTTAATGTAAAAAGTCTGTGCAAAAGCCAGCGGATGGATTTGCATTGGTTTACAACAGGTCAAGCCACATCCCGTCAATCTTAAACATGCACTTTAACATTTTATTATTCTTCTTTATTCTTTACATGTGTTTAACGATATACCAAACAATACATCAAATGATCGAAATGTACAGTTCACATGTCAGAATAGGAGCATGTTGAAGACCGAGTCTTATTGTTCATGCCCCTAAAGCAAAAAAGAAAAAAAATAACACTTATTTTGATGATGATGAGCGCCTCAAAAAAATAAATAAAAATACAATCTACACACATTTGCTTATATACAATATACACACATTTAGTTTCCTCACAGTATAATTACTATTGTTATTATTCTCTTTTTTTTTCTAAATTGTTTTTTGAAATATGTATTGGTCAATGATTAACACACATTCGAACGTCCTAAAATATCTCTGAAACAGTTGTTGTTTTGTGTTTTACGATTGTTATTTTTCTCGCTATTTTCAAGCTGTAAATTTTGCCGCAGTATTGAGAGCTCATGGTTTTTCACTGATCCAGACCAGAGAAAAGAGGATGGACGGCCCCAATCAAACAGATCAAGCCTAAATCCACTGGAGGAATTTCTTTTTTTAAACGATGCTAATAAAGCATTCAGAATTTCACTCTGAACCAGAGCGGAGCAGACTCTGCAGACCTCAACCAGAGGATAAGAAGCAGCAGCGACTACACCACCTCTGCTGCTGTGACCTAAATTGCTGTAGCCTTTTTTTTACTATTGTGAGGAACTTTTAGAATGATGTAATTATTTTGTTTGTATGGATTGATGTGTTAGGTGTAGGTATTGGACCAAACTTGTGACGTCTGGTTTCTCTCTTTGTCTTACCTGCAGTGCACAGCCATGGGCCCGGCGTCTGGAGGGTTGCACGCTTTCACTCGCCGGAGGAAGGCCAGGAAGGGAGTGGGGTGCTCGGGAACGCCATGGTCCGGCCAGGCTGTGAACTGGAACTGTCTGACCTCACGCTTCTCACTGCAGCCGTTCTGAACACAGAGAGGATCTTCAGGTAAGAGAACAGAGCTTTTGTGCATGTCAGGAGTAATTTGGATCTATCAAGACTGTTATTATACAGTATGGGGATGTGATCAACTTAAGTGTGTTGTCATTAAAAAAAAAAATATTGTGAGGGATTACTGAATCTTTTTGGATGCACTTGTGAATTATTGGTCAATGAAACAATTACAATGGGTTAAAAAGTAGGTACGGTAAAAACAAACATACATCTGATCCAACTGCACACGTATTTATTTTCAACATCATTTCTACAAAATTCACAACTATTCACTTGGGACTCTAAGTAAGTAATCTTTATTTCTATACCGCCTTTCACAAAGCGGTTTACAATTGTTATTTTTTTGGCAAATGTCCTCTACTCCACACAGAGATGGGAGAGGGGTAAACAAATATATAAATAAATATATCATATCTCTCTAGTTGCTACTATTTCTATTCCTAGAAAAATCCTAGAAACCACTGTGATGGAAAGAAAAGTCACTGTGATGCCCAAATTTACCAAAAATATCAACTTTTTCTCACATAAAAAGTTGCAGAGTGTAAGTTATGGACCGGACTTTTGAACAAATCTGCAAAGCGAAGAGAACAGTCTACGCCTTTCATGTGTTTTCAGGAGGTCTCTTCACATTGATAATACAGTTAAAGTATATTTGAAGTACTTACTTTGAAAAGTGAAAATGTCCTGACGCAGTATGTGGCCAGCTCCACGGTGTCCAGCAGAGTGACCTGGATCAGGCCGTAGGTCTCCGTGCCCCGGGTCGGCCAGTACTGGTCACATTTCACCTGCACCAAAACAACCGCACTAATTATGACGGGTCTTTAGCTCGATTATCATGAATAAAACCACCACAATGTGAAAGTATATTGTGGTAAACTTTAAAGAGAGTAAATCATGGCAAAAACAAATCATTCATAATCACAAACAGTAACTATTTCAACTTTTTAATGCCCTTATGTTTTTATATAAGGGCATATATGTATAATCCAATCCTTTTTATAAAACACGTTTCCAAAGTGCTGCACAAATAAAAGTAACAGATTAAAATATAAAAGTCTGCCAGCTTTAAATAAAAATAATAAAAATAAAGTAAAGAACAATTAAAATATTTATTTATTTGATCGGGACAACACACATTAATGAACAATCATTTACAAGTTCTACACAAATTGTAAATGATTGTAACAAAACTGCTAATTTAAATGCGTAGTCCTGAAAATAAAGCAATTAACTAAATACATAAATAAACGTAAAACAATAAAATAAATACATTAAATAAAATAAAATAGAGGGCCACACAACTCACGCGGTGTTAAAAGCCAGAGCGTAAAAATGCGTTTTAAGACAAGACTTAAAACATTCCAACGTGGGAGCTGTTTTGACGTGGGGGGGGGGCAGGTTGTTCCAGAGCTTTGGTCCAGCCACAGAGAAGGCCCTGTCCCCCCCCGGGTTTTAAGTCTGGTCTTGGGCACCACGAGCTGGAGCCAAAATCATACATGGTTAATAACAACACCTTATTTTTGCACCAAATCTTCTGCATTTTTCATTGTCGACAATTTGAAAAGGGCAAAGCACTTTTACATGCAACACTTAAGCAACGTTTTGTCTTCTTTTTGAATATCACGCCAACATTTGCACAATCATATATTGGCATGTGCTGTAAACTATCGGTATTCTGTCCTAGAATGGCTTGGCTCTTTTATTAAGACAGAAACGTGGAGAAAACTGTATTCTGTTTCCCGTCAAAATAAAAATGAACTGCAAAATATACAGTAAAAAACACATTATAGACAAAGAGAATAATGTTGATATTGATCGGCTGATTATTGATATTGTTTATGGCACTTACAATGCTCCTTTTCTGATTTAAATTCCATAAATCGTAAAATCATTCTAATATCGCTTTAAAAGACATTCGAACACCCACAACCAAAGCGGCCGAGCTCTCTCACTCCTCCACACAAATAATGTGCAAATAAATTCCCTGAATCAGCCGCTGCCCACCAACTATTGGATTTTAAAATCGATGCAATGGTTTGAGATATTTTTATAGATCTGACATTGTTATAAATTGTCCTGCCAGTCTATAATTACAAGAGTAACCACACATTCCACTCACATAACAGGCCAGGCTTTATTGCTTTTTTAGTATACAGCTTTGTTTTCCGGAGAGCGGCCGATAAAACACTGACCGGTGCCGCCGAAGTGAGAGAGTTTGTGCCGTTGAGGAAATAAGTGGCCCACACCGTTCAATCGGTTTGATTTGAGTCTGCGCTCGTGAGTCCTTCAAAGGCAATGTGTGAAAGAACAAGTGGAAGTAGAGTTTCGCTTTTCAGCCCGAGCCCGAGCTCGGACCTCATTTGGCGCTCAGCTGTCGGGTTTGTGCCGGGCTCGGGCTTCTTTTTTTCAATATATGTTTATTTTTTATTATTATTATAATTATTTTTAAATGATTTTTATACATAATATATATAAATATATATATATATATATATATATATATATATATATATATATATATATATATATATATATATATATATATATATATTAATAACAATGTCCGTTGATTGACAACAAGTTATTAAAAAAAGTTAATATATTAATGACACCGTAACCAGCGTGTCGTACAGCAGCAGCGAGCCGTGAACGCATCATCCCCGTGTCTCCTGCTGCTGTGGTCAACAGCGAACAGGAACAATAGTAGAAATGGATCAAGTGGAGACAAAACAAATTCAAAAGTGGAGACTAAACTTGCGATTGGAAGGTGAGTGTGTACAACGGGAAATCAGATGTGTCGGGTTCTGTCGGGCTCGGGCCTGTTATACAGCGTTCATTGGTCGGGCTTATACGGGCTCGGGCTTAACATTAGCGGGCTCGGGCCGGGTCGGGCTTCATTTTTCAGGCCCAAACGAAACTCTAAGTGGAAGTCTCTGTAGGCTCAGTGTGAGAGCAGGGCTATACATATTCAATTAAAACACTTAAAATTATTTTTTATTTAGTAATAAGGATTTTTTCAGTTTTTCTAATAAGATAGAAATAATATAAAGATTTTGTACAATTCGATACATGAATTATAAATGCATCAAATTTTTTTTGTTTTTGTTCAAATGTAGCGGCATGTTAGATAAGCGGCCAAAATAATTAATCATTTGGTATTGTTTAGAATATTTTTTGGGCATTAGTCTCACTCCACACAGAGATGGGAGCGGCCAGTACAGGAGGCGCATGCCAGACCTATTGTGCATGTTTTTAGTGGTAGGGGAAACCGGAGTACCTGGAGGAAACCCACGCAGACACGGGGAGAACATGCAAACTCCACTCAGAAAGGCCCTGTTCCGACCGGGATTCGAACCCAGGATCTTCTAGCTGAGAAGCGAGAGCACTATCCACTCTGTATCAATTTGATACAAGTATATTGAATCAAATTGAGCTACAGATTGTATCAGCAATTAGACCAATTAAAAGAGCCATACATGTCAGTGTGTCTGTGCCCCAGGGCAGCTGTGGCTACAGTAGTTGTTTATTCCCACCGTGTAAGGAGTAAATAGTTAATACCATGTGAAGCACCTCCCAAAAAGCGCTGTATAAAACCAAATGCAATAATTTGAACTGAAATCTAACCCAGACAAGCAGAGAATACCAAGTCATACTAATTACTTTGAATTGATGAGTTATGCTGGTTACAAGTGTACGCAAAATAATCTACTGCAAAACATTTGAGGAGAACTGAACACAGACAGACAGGTGACAGACCTGAAAAGTTTCTTATCAAACATTTAACGAATCTGTCAACATGGAGTTAGATCCCACCTCCGTCAGCAGCTGTATTGACACCAGGTGCCTTCAAATGCTGCGAAATTGATTCATAATAGAGCTATGGATATGCAAAACATAGAAAGACAGCTTGAGTGCTTCTCTGTGAATGATACCACTGATTAATATAAAGACAGGGGCTGTTAGAGCCAACAAAAGCACATTATGTCCTCCAGCTGTCAAACGCCGTAATGATAAGAGTGGATCAGGCTGTGTCATGGAGAACATTGCACTGAATGGAGCCAAGAATCACACTCCCGCTGAAGCTGACAACTTTTACACACATTTGTCTCATTCAAACAAAGCCAGTTTGACAGAATTGTGTAAAAAATCTTTAATTCTAACACGGACATATTTTACAATGATGGGGACACAAGAGAAGAAATATGAATATTATACAACAAAAGCATACACATATTTTTAAGAAATCCTAAAACTGAATAAACGACAGTATTTTATTAACCGAATAAGACATGTGCCATGTGCCAGCAAGAAGGAAAATGTTCTTATGTACTCATCTTAATTTTAACCAGTATTTCAGAATCTTTATTTACCAGGATTGCCATCTTGCATTTTCACGCATGATGGCGGTGCATCTGTATACGGTAAGACAAAAAGATTTAAGTGACATTTAAACCCATCTTTTTGTTGTCACATTGGATTCTTGGCAAGTTATGTGTTCCCAGATCTGCATCTGTCGTAAGATTGTTTGAGATCCTGGGTCCCGGAATCTCCTACATCTGTCAGAATACACACCGCCCTGAATGGTAAGGCAAAATGTATGTTAAGATGGTGCAAACAGGAGCACCTGGAGAAAACCTATAAGCAGATATGGGGACAACATGAAAACTCCATAAAGAAAAGGCTCTGTGTTTACATCACCTTGCCTATGCTGTCCCCCTCTGGTTTCAACACTAAAGTACCTCACTTTGAAACAATAAAAATGTGATCAAATGTAACAAGATCCAAGCTCTCACAACAGTTTGATTCTATCCCTAGTTCTCACATATGTGTCTTTTTGACCACTGTCTCTGCCAATCAGCTCTCAGTATGTGAAAAAATTAGGGCTGTCAAACGATTACATTTTTTTAGTTGATTAATCGCATAGTAATGGTGAGTTAACTCACGATTAATCGCATGTTTAACATTCTATTTCAAATCCACTCCAATTGAAGTTAAATGAGATTATCAAATATAATTACCAGTGTTCGGTAAATTACTTTGAAAAAGTAATTAGTTATAGTTACTAGTTACTTCTTCCAAAAAGTAATTGACTTACTGAGTTACTCCACTATAAAAGTAACTAGTTACCAGTAAAAGTATTTGCGTGGTACCGAGCTTTAGCTGGCTGTAATTTAGGATAACTTCTAAGTAGATTAATTGTTGCAACAACCCCACCCTATTTTAGTATGATATGTTAGTTTAGGGAACTGTCCTGCAGGCAAACAGGTATAAGACAGGCCAAGGTGCCATTTAATTAAATTGCATTTATTTTTATCCAAACAAACAGATTACAAAACTTGCAATTGAAAGAGACTATTTTAAAATAATTAGTTCCCAAAAACACACACGAGCAACACTCGCGCCTGACAGTCAAGAACCAGGGAAAATACAGTGCGCAGAGCGCGGAGTATCTGAACGGAGCAAACGCTTGCTGCTGTTATAATAATAGCTAGATCCATGCTTGCAGCCCGTGCAAAGCTTGCACTCACTCACAGCCGCTAACAACAACCAGAGCAGCCACGGAGGAGGCCATCTCACACGCAGCATTCTGAGTGATATTCTTATGGATAAATGGGCGGGTCATTCGGACATGCGTTAATGCGTTTAAAAAAAAATAACGCGTTAATAAAAAATGTAATTAACGTGAGTTAACGCGATCATTTTGACAGCCCTAGAAAAAATACAAAAAATCAAATAAGATAAAGACAGGATTTTGTGGCTATATTTACTCACAAAAAGTTACTCCGACAAGACTTAAAGACCTTATGCCGGGTTTAAAAAAAAAAAAAAATTGTGGATATCAAAATTGCATGACAATGTCAATCTGAAAGAGATTCCGGCAACAAAATTCCTATATTTTATAAAAAGAACGTGTTTTTCATGAATTTAAGTTGTCTATGCTCTAACCTGTGTGTGACATCATAGCGGGTTACGCCCATGCATTGAAAACCATGGATCTATGCCACAGGACTGCCTTTTCTCTCTTCTCTCCACTGATGCCCAACACAATACTGCCCTCTACAGGTGACAATTGCTCACTACACATAAATTGCCGTTTGAGAGTGAAAAAGTGTCTGAGGTGGGATTTGAACCCCAGTCTCTGGATTGGTAGTCCATCGACACAACCACTGGACTATTTCAGTGCAAACGAAGAGTTACAATCTAGTATTTATGTCTCACTCGCTGTACACGGCCTTGTCATCTTGAATATCCGCCAAAAAAGAACGAATACCAAATTGTAAACAACTTACAGCGTTGAAACGTACCCACTCTGACGTCACCAAGGGCTGTGAAGTTTTTTCGTCTCTAAGGGCGTTGCTATGGGGTTATTTCGATTTGGGGGATCAGACAAAAAAAACAACAACTGATTTTGAAACCTTTAGTAGTTATCTTCTAATATAAAATGAAACTGTATTTCTAAATAAATCAAACCCGTCATAAGGTCTTTAAAATGGTTTCAATTCAATTCAATTCCAATTATATTTCTGTAGCCCTAAATCACAACAGTAGTAATCACGAACAACTTTACAAAGTTGTCGATTAGCCAACCCAGATCAGAGAATCGTACCCTATAGAGTTTACAGTTTGTAAGGGACGGATGAGCAATGAACCATGAATGTAAATAGACGTCGATAAATAAATGCGTGAGAAACCTGGCCGGACGTTGAGCCGCAAATTTTTAAATTTCTTGTTGAAGTTATTTGGACCCTGCCGCCTGTGGAATTGAGGGAGGGATGCGCACCCACAGCCAAAAAACGGTAGGTACTCCAGCTCTATTGCCTGAAATAAAAAGTTCTATAATAGATTTTTATTTCTTTTTTTCATGTTTACATTTTACGCACCACCCTTACGTTCCAGAATTGGATTTGTACATTGTTCCGGCACCTTTGAATCCAGCGCCTGTTAACATAACCCCCTGCGTACACGTGTGAAGGTCAGCCGCTTATGGAGTCCAGCGAGTTTGCACAGGAAATATATATATACAAGGGCCATCCGACTACAATGACCTTAAAGCAGCGTGGAGTGAATGCAGCACGACCACAGACTCGCTTTTCATCCACAAAGAGAGAAAAAAAATTAAAAAACATGTGATTTTCTTTCATGTCCTGCTTTATGCTCTGCGCCGCACTAGGACACTATACCCTAATGTACTGTCTACTGTACGCAGCCTACGCATTTCTTTGACTTCACCTGAAAACGTCTATATCTCTGGTTAATCCGATCAAATCCGAGTGAAAAGAAATAATTTCCACACTCTGGGAACATTCTATATAATATTTTAATTTGGATGTTATTGAGACATCGCATTTAAAGGTCCATACGTTTAATCCGGTCAATCTAAGCAGCTTTCATTACCAAGAACTTCTGAAATTATTTTTTTCAATCCATAGCTGTCAATTTAACGACCTTTGTGGAAGTTCTTTGGATGAGAGACGGTCGTTTTATGTGAGAAAGTTGATGGAAATCTTTATTTTTTTATTTTTTTATTGAATTCAACTCATCACTTTGACGGTTTTTTTGGTATAGATAATTTGTGTTTGCATATCCCCAAAGAATCCAGACATAAAAATATGTGTTGAAAAAATAATGTCTATGCTAGTTTTGGAAAGCAGCATTCTATGACCAAATTTGGGCAATGCAGGATATTTGCTTCTCTTAAATCAATACAACACACTCTTGTTTTTTCATGACTAGTCTCCCTGGGGTCCATGACTAAAAATCAATCAGCTTTAAAGAAAATATTCAACTATTTACATAAAATACAATGACATGAGAATTAACCATACATAATAATACATCAAATATACAAGAATATCAGGTGTTTCTTGAAAAAGCCATGAACCTCCTGACAGTATTTTCTTTAAAAGATGATAAAACTGGTTCTAGAGTAGAACTTATTTCTGTTCTTATGTTTTTTGCGGATGAACAAAATGGTTAAACATGATCTCAGGAGTAAAGCAGGTAAAAAAGACAGATTATATTTCATCTGTTTTTGTCAACATCAAACATGGTGCACTGCATTCGAAGGCTCACTGAGAAACTCGCTAAATTCCATAATTGCCGGACAAAAGAGACCATTTTTTATTTTTATTAATTGAAGTTGAAACCTCTCAACCTAAAGAGTGTGTGGACAATGTATGTATTTTTCATATTTGTTTTTGTTTTCATTATGGAGGAAGTATTGAGTTATCGTGTAGATTGTTCCGTTTTTTGACTTTGGTTTAAACTAAAAACAAAATTGGACCAATGGTAAATACAGATTGTATAACTGTAGACAAAACAAAATAAAAAAAACTATATTTTTGTTTCCTTAGCTTTCAAAATACAGTATATCTAACATACCATGGAATCATATAGCAATAATGTTCTGTCAATGCTTGCACGTTCACAATCATTTGAACTTGCAAACCACTAAAATGGTCTGGTGGGCAAATGAGTGAGTTGTGTGGATAGAAATAAAAATAAAAAAACAGCTGTGGTTATGTTGTTGATGAACAGTGCGTGGCTTACCCGGGACCTCTCCTCCAGCTTCGTCATCATGACCACGATGGCGCTGCGCTGTTCCCAGATCATCCTCCAGAACTCTCCGAAGGTCTCTGGCAACGCGCCCTGAGTGGCGATGTAGGCATTCTGCTTCCTGTAGCCGTCGATGTAGTTGGCGTTGATGTAGTCGCTCCCAGGGATTCCTACACAAGGACATGACGCGAGTGAGAAATGATATTCTCTGAGTCATTTCAAAGCAGCCACAAAGCGTTGGGCCGCCGTAGATGTAACGTTAATGGATGAGACCCTTCCCCGGAAAGTTGGGAATGTAAAATGTAAAATCACTTCCTGAACATGACTCATTTATGTAGAGGTGATGTTAACAACTTAACCCTTTAGGCGCCAGCGTTTTTTTGGTATTGAGAAAAGGATTGTTAAAAAAAAGACAAAAAGTGACGCCCTGTAACTTAACAAAAGATTGTGGACTACAATAATCAATAATACAAAATTAAAAAATAGTTATACAAATGTAGAGAGACGACCGTGGGAAGCAAGGTTGCTGTATAGAAAGTGTTCCGGATTAAGTTAAGTGTTGCAATTTGTCTACTTTGGCGCCTAAAGGGCCAAAGAAATTAAATTGTACTTCATTTTTACAATAATGTACATACTGTATACTGTCTGACACTAAGTATTTTCCAACAATAATATATTTTGAAATAGTCCCTGCCCTTGACTTCCACCAGTAAGATTTGCTGAAGGAGAATAATTAAACCAATGACGAGAGGGATTTTAATTCATTTCGACCGATCAGGAAGCTTCAAGAGGGTGAGCTAGTTTGATTCTCTGATCCGTGTTGGCGAAATGACTTGTAGTTTTGAGTCTATGTTAGGTTGGTGGTCGGCGCTCTCTGGCCATTTCTCCATCACACACGTAACAACTTGTCACTGGGTTTAACAGAGGTTTTCCCTCCACTGGCTGCCTGTGCATTTTATAATTGATTTTAAGATTTCCCTGATCACTCTTAAAGCTCGCTCTGGTCTGGCTATAAGCTACATTGTGAACTTTTAACCCCCTACGAGCCCGCCCTATAGCCTTAGATCCCCGAGCAGGTCCCTGTTGGGCGTTCATGGCCAGGCTCCAGACGAAAGGTGACGGAGCCTTCTCAGTGCAGGCTCCTTAGTTCTGGAATGACCTGCCCCAGGAGATAAGGCTCGCACCATCAGTACCCTTTTTAAAATCACTTCTTAAACCCCAATTTTGTTTTAAACTTCACGTGCTGTATTTCATTGTCTTACTTGTTGTGTGCCCTTTGTCTGTTTTATTTTACTATCATTTGTTTATTTTGATTTTGTATTATGATGACTGCTTTATTGACTATTCTATTTGTTTTATGCTGACTGTGCAGCGCCTTGTAAACACCTTTTTAAAAAGTGCTTTAAAGTGCTTTACAAATACATATGTATTATTATCATTATAACATGTCTGGGCTCATGTGGGATCTGAACCTGGGACCTCTTAAAGGGATCATTGCATTAACATTAACAAGTACATGATGGTGGTAACAGGCTGAAGCCAATGTGTGCCGCAAAAGGCAATATCTGTGAAGTGTTTTTCCTGAGGCCATTTGTACAAGGATTTGTACAAATGTTTGTCTCAAGTACACTATAGTAAACAATGTTACATGCACAAAGCTGTAGTATGCACATTCTAAAGCCTTTAAAAAGACCATCTTCTTTCAACAATACACATTTTCTCATTGTTTCACATCAAAACAAAACAGACTACAAAGCCAGTGCAGCATAAATCATTATCCACTAAGAGTGTTATCCACTTCCATGTACCGTACTTCCATGTTTTTTCAAATATGAACTTCCTTTGTGCCGGAAATGCACAAAAATATCGACCGTATTTGTATCAAAGCTTTCACGATTTTCTCATTTATTGTCTCAGGCACATTTAAATCCAAAGCGCTGTGTCCTTTCCCCGTATCAGAGACTTTCTGATAACGCTCGCTCTGTAAAAAACTATCACCTCACGCGCAGAAAAACAAACCAACAGAAAAGTAGCAAAACAATTCCCCATCCCCTCTCTGTCCGTCTGTCTCTCTCTTCTTTCTTGGCACGCAGTCTCTTTTTTGCTTATATTAAATGAAAGGCGCAGCAGCCTTTTGGAATCCCGCGGAAAGAGACAGAGCTGACAGCTAGTCAATGCTTTAGGACTGGCAGTTTAGGGGCTCCGTGCACACATGGCCGACCAAGATAACTCTCATCTGCATGGCCGCCACGTCTCCCAGAATCCCCAGCTCTGCCTCCACATGCCTCCCCGCTCTCCTCCCGGCCCCCCTACAGACAGCCTCGCACTCCCAGGTAACTTACTGGACTAAAAAGACAAGCAAATGGAAAAACGGACACATTAAAACCACCCACATTGCAGGCGCCTTTCTGTGCATTTTTTTACAGTGATGGACAAGGATAAATACAATTAAGCCCAGTGTGTTTTTGAATTGAAAAGAAAGGGACATTACTGTGGTTTAATGAGGCAAGTTGTTTAATGCGCTTGTGCCTTTATGCTTTCTGTCAGTCAGGATTTGTATTTTTTCCCATTTTCTCTGTCAATATGCCTATTATGGAATAAACATCGCCGCAGTGTTGTTCGGCTCTCGGCTTCCAAATGAAAAATAGTGAAGCAAATAAATTTCAGGAAATGCAGGCTTTAGAGCGGTATTGAACTGCTATCGTAATGATGGGTTTAAGTGGGAGAATTAAGAAAGTTCATTTTGCTCCATGTGCAGAAATGTTAAGACTTTTTCAATTCAAATGGCAACGTTTAATATTTTCATTTTGAATTATATATTTTGTATGTGTCGCCAGATACCAGGTCAACATGTACCAATCCTATTTGACATTTCTTGAACTTAAGTTTCAAGTTTTATTTCAGTTTTTTCAGTTTATTTTTTATCATTATTAGGGCAGAAGCAAAAAAATGGTACGCCCATTACATATTCATGTTACAATACAAGTTACCAAAACATTTTTCAGAGAATCAACACTTAAGTAGAGTTATTCTTAATTATTATCTATTAGATTATGAGATTAGCAGATTATCCAATAAGAAAGCAGAATGGGATACCGGTGTGTTAGGCAAATTGTAGCTGGTTTTGGCTTATCTCTTGTTTTTTCACAAACATAATTGAAGACTATTTACACCAACACCATTTAAATACTGTATATATAAATAAGTAGTCGTACATAACAGTTTGTACCTTTTCTATGCAAACCCCAGTGGGTAGATTGCATCAGTAATTAGTGCCAAGATTGTAATTGCAATGACTATTATACCACCAACTGTGCATATCAGATACGGTCCTTTTAAAGAGATTCAAAAAATAACACATTAAAACAAAACTTTTCATGAACTAAACCGAACTGTTGGGTCCGAACAGATGTGCAGAACAATTTTCTTAATCAAGTTGTTGTGGTGTCGGGTTTTATTACTTTTTACGAGACCAGCAACAGTGGGAAGCTCTGGATACACTTTGAAAGCTTCGTTGGTTTCTGAGGTCCTGTTTGTTGTCAGTGGGTTTAGTGTGTGCGTCTCTGGCTAATGGAGTTTCATCACCACTTAGCAGAAGATTGTTTAAATGCACTTCTAAACAGACCTTTTCATTATAGTTTTGCTCTCGTCGCACCAACTTAGCACTCTGCAAGCCATCGCTTAATTAATAGCTCCAGTGTTGGGCGCAAGCGAGCAAAGAAACAGCAATCTGCTCGCATGGCCCCAATTTTTCTGCGTTATTAAAGGAGACGTAACATTCTTTTTCTCGCTATATAGTGAGAATATTTTACAGTATATTTGAATCCCAATTTACATCGGGCACATGATGAGTAATATTCGGTCCCTGTGCGCCACTCTGAGCCCTGCACCTCAACTGAGTTTGGGGATACATGGTCATATCGATGAATTATGAATTTCAATTAAATTCAATTCAGTGTATCTTCTATAGCCCTAAATCACAACAGTAGTTATCTCAAAGGACTTGGTGCAATGGTTGCATTCTCCAACACAGATCAGAGAATCAAACAGTCACAATCAGTGTTTTTTTTTCCTTTTGGGCAAGAAATCAAAAGAAAATAGCCATGTCCCGGTGGTCAGAGGATCCGGTGGAGAGCAATGGCGTCTCTGGTGTCGGAGATTTAACTTACTCAAACATGTATGAATTGCTTTGTGACTGCGTGCATTAGGAGGGCAAACAATTTAAAGTTAAGGTTTAGGTCTTTGTGCCTGTAGGGCAATTTTTCCTCTGCATTCATCATCTTCAATACACTACAAACACTTTTCTCGGCTTGGTCCGGACTACCGAGCTGGAGGATTTTACCTATTGTGCACGTTTTGCGGTGGTGGGGGAAACCGGAGCACCCAGAGGAAACCAGAAACGTGCAAACTCCATACAGAAAGGGCCGGGCAGACACAGATTGAACCCATCACCTTCTTGCTGAGAAGTTTGAAAGCTATACGCACTCCGCTACCAGCTATTTTACAATACATTACAACAGCTGTGAAAAGTTAATGTTTAATGTTGATTTAAAGTGTGTTTAGATCGAGACACAGCACATATCTGTACAATCCATGCAGTAGTTGTTTGGAGTTGTGGGTGGGCAGCGTACCGTCAATAGCGGACAGAAGGACACGGGAATGGTCGTAGGCGATGACGTTGGCGTAACGGTTCTTTGGTTTGTTGACCTCCAGGTTGGAATGCTCCCATGTGAACTGCTGCCCAGGGTCAATGGACTGTAAACAAGAGGCATTAGTACATTAATGCACAGAATCAGTTTTGCATTAGTGGTCAGAACAGAACAGATTGTATGAATATTGTGTTTTATGCATCGATAAGACCTGTATGTAAATGTGCCCTCTACTTCTGGCCCACACTGTATAGAAGGCGAAAGAGCGACCCTGCTCTCAGCAACTAAGTATGTTTCTCAAACTATTAATGTTTAACACTAATATATGTAAACTGTATTGGTTTGATGCCAATCTGTTGAACATTTCATGCAAAGCAGTGCATGTTCTTGGCATATGGCGTTCATTCCTTTCAAATAATCACATTTTAAAAGCTTGGCAGATGGACTGAAAAATCGTGCTCGACTAAAAATATAACCTATATATCGTTTAGTCAAAAAAACTTCGTACTAGGCTGGCAGTCAAAAAATTACATATTCACTCAGAGTTACTTTAGTACATTTTACATATATTTGTGTTTATCTTTTTTTTTTGCAGCTGGTGTTGTCGTAAAAGAACAATACATTTACCCTATTACATTATTATTTCTAAGATCTGACCGCATCTGCAAACAAACCAAAAGACAGCATTGATCTACTCTGATATGGCTTTAAAAACAGTTCCCTCCTTAAAAAATATGTCACTAAGTTTGGACGGTTTCCTCAAAATGTGATAATCCAAATGAAAGCGCCATGTACGGCATTACTTTCACCGTTGGCCCGCTATAAGATTATCACACTTTACAGCACACATCCCAATCCCACACCAGAGACTAGTTCATCAGAATGTGAGCTGAGGCTTCCGTTAGCCGCGTGAAGCAGAAATCACTAATGGTCCCCCATCACAAATAAATGAACAATAAAATGTAAAATGACAAAGGGAACATCCAGCACACAGAGACGGCGAAATATTGTTCTTTCGTTTTAATGTCTTCTCAGTTTTAATGCCGCTTCAGGAAAATAGCTCTGGTGCAATAAGGCAGATTAATAGCCCCAATATCCCTTATGGCTAATTAAAATGGATTTTAGGAAGGATACAAATTTACTTATTTTATTCATTTATCTTATTCTGTCTTCTGTAGATAATGGTTGTGTGTAATGGTCTGGGGCCTATCCAAGCTGCTTTGAGCCTTAGATGTTTTTTTTTTTACCACTTCCTTCTTAATATTCTTTCTAATAACCAGTTCTTTTGGCCAATGTTTTATCTTGCAGAGTTTGAGTTGGATGGACAGGGGTTTTAAGGCAAGGGCAGCCACAATATTTTGAGTTATAAAAGCTCTATCCGTCTACTTTTGCAATTGCTTTCCATTAGGCTAAAATAATAATACAGTGAAATAGAAAATTGGCCACATTTATTTTGTGATGAGGTCTGTCCTGCTCGGCGAACCTCATAGAATATAATGATTGCAGATTCTGAAGCATTTAAAAAGCCACTAACAAAGGACTCGATCCAATTGTGTCCAAAATGTATGAATATTTTTAATACATTATGACATGTAAAAAGGCATTCTAATGAACTATTGCCATAAATAATATAGCAAGAATCGAAAACATGCTTGTATTTAACATTTAGCGTAACATGATACACATTTTAAAGATAGTGATAGTGAACAGTCCTTCCCATTGGCCAAACCATCATTTCAACTCTCTCAGAGTTGACCAAAAATGAGTAGAATTTAATTACATCTATTGATTTTGTAACTTTGACTAGAGCTAACACATCTAATAAATAAATAAATAATTCACAACAATGTATTCAAAGTGTACTCTTACCTCATACTCTTGAGAAAACTTGAGGTTGTCGTTGGCTTTCAAACGCTCCAGATGATCCGCCAAGTCCATGACCGGGATGGGAGGGTGGTTGGCCATACCTGCCGCAGAAGAAAAAGGCAAAAATAATATATAACCACTAATGCTGCAAGATGGACTGTGGACCAAAAGAGAAGCAGGGAAGATGGAAAGGTGTTTCATATAGGCTAGATTGTTCAGCAGTGGCCATGCTAGGAAGGACACAGAAGCCGGAATGAGAGATCCACCTATAAGGATTAGCAGTTTGCAGGATAAATATGCATATGTGGCACACCATGACTTAAAAAAATAAAGAAAAACAACAAACCAGGCCAGAAGTTGATAAAAAAAATGGCGTGTGGCAAGCCTGAAACTCTGCCCTATTGCGATGACAAAGCAGTGACACCATGAGAATGAAGTCTGGGTTGAGAGATGGGAAAAGTAGAAGGCAGTAGGAGATTATAATGTTGTCAAATGCGGAATTGAGAACAAACTAACTTGACAAATGGAGGTTACTGGGGTGACTGGACGCACCTGAACCTGTGGAGGAAACGGCCGTGTCATTAACTAGAGAGATTGAAGACAATACAGTGATGTGATGTATGCGACAAAGAAAAAACGAGGCTAGTTCGGCGAGTATACTAAATGGACGTTAGAACACTCATTCTACCATGCTACAGGCCATGCTAACTACATGGAAGCAAAGAGACAAGCAAAGCAAAATTAACCATGGAAAATTATTTGTGTTTTGTCCTGCCGTTGGAGGGCCTGTCGCTGCTTACCACCAGTAAAGTAACTGAGGGCCTGTAACGGACTAAAATCTCTAAAATCCAAGCAAGACGTCCATGACACAAGCAATTGACCATATCCTATAGGAGTCTTGTTCATGTCTGAAGTTTAAAACCGGAAAATATAACAATATAGGTCCTGAAGCTCTCAAATTTTACAAGTAGAGAGTCAGTTGATGCCGTATTTCCACCATCCCCATAATTAGGTTTCATTAGCTTGGCACAAGTGGACATTAGCTAATGGAATGTACCGGGCCACACTTTCAAAAGTGGGTCTCTATTGCGGGTCGCTACTCAAAACCCATTACCAGCCTTGGGGGGTGGGACAATGAAAGCACCATTTCTGCCATGCTGTCGCTCAAACATCAAGCATCCTCAAGTAGAAAATGTCCATTGAGGTGTAGAGAGGGGAGAGCGAGGCAGGGTCTAATGTAACACGGCTTGAGGACTTGATTTAGAGTGGTCACATGTTGGGAGGAAATATTTAGTCCTTATGAGCAATGAGATCTGGGCTCTTTGAGAAGCTGACGGAGAGGGGGGAATGACGGCTAGAGTGGAGGCTGAAAGATGTTTTGAGATCACTCAGCGCCAAAAGGAAAAATGCCCTCTGTCAGGATGAAGCAGTCCATAATGGCCCTAACATCATTGGAGAGCTTTCATAAATATGCATACATTACCCGAGCCTGGAGGGGTAATTTATCCTCCTTTCATACAAACTGACCTGGCTCCGATAGGCCCACATTATTGTCACCCTCTGAACGCTGGTCCCACACTTGAAAGAGGCTTTTTGAAAGGCTACCATTGTGGTTAAGACATTTTAATTGACTGAACTGAGTGGTTGAATGGTAAGAGTTTTTCGGTGTTTTTGTTTTTTTACATAACTAGCCGGCGAATTACTGGATAGTTTGGTCATATACCTCTTGCGGTATTATAAATGAGTAGACTAATTGATTGCAAAACACAACATACAAATCAGTGCAGCTGTATAAGGTTGGCTGTATATCTAAAAGACTGCAGAAGTATACAGCACTTCAAGACTTTGGTGGTGAACAATATTATTCAAACATATATTGATTATGAATGCAGAGCAGAAAATAATCATAATTATTTTTTATTTATTTAATTTATACTTTATTAAGGACTCACATGCAAGCACAGGATCCATAGCTAAGAATAATGAAAGAAAGTAAAAAAATAAATAAAAAAATAACAGAACAGAGTTAAAACACACATAGTAATCACATATTTAGACCAAGTCACACATACAGAGAAGCACGCCAGTGACTCCAGAGCAAAGAAGTGAACCTGACTGAGCTAATGTAAGGACAAACCAGTGACTGTACAATAGCATTAGGCACCCTCACCACTCTACACATGAACCGATAGTAGCAGTGACGTAGGGCGGCAGGAAAGGAGCGCACCCTGCACTCAATTATGTGTAGCAGCTATCTACTGTAAGTTTAATGTATACTAAAAGGTAGGCGTCTATAAGCTTTAGCTTCGTCATATTCATTTTTCAGACCTTCTTTTGACATGTTTATTTTCCAAGCGCCTGAAAATAGTTTCTGAATTGTCAAAAATGTCTGAGATAAATGTAATTGATTGATTTATTGATTGACGTTTCTTAAGGTATATGAGGTAGGCGCTTATAACTAACTTCTTCACACTTCATTTTGGGCTTTGGCAGGAGTGAACACAGAAAATGTGTGTATATATGTTTGCTCATGTATACTACAGTATGTAAAGACTGTACATTACAACTGATTCCTCTTTATAAACTTGAAATAAATCAATGAATAATGAAAACATGAAATGAAAATTGGCCCAGTTGGTGAACTAGACCAACCAGTGTGGACATATCCCTAGTTTACAACAACATTTGATTAGCTAAGCAGATATTTTGTTGTTTCAGGTTGAAAACGGTTCTGTTTGGTTGTGCAGAAGACTGAAGGATTGATATATTGTGCTGTGATTCTTTTATCGTAATACCTTGAATGATTTTATTGTGTTTTGTCAAGAACTTTGGGCTGCCTTGTATATCAACCCATACAAATAAACCTGCCTTGCCTTAACAAAAAAATTAAATAAATAAAATACAACAACAAACAAAGCAGATTATACATTAGCCCTTCGCACTAGCAACTTAAGGTGGACTTGAAATCGAGTGATATCAGAGGTTATTGGGCAGTGTTGCATTGGGAAAGAACCAGTTTTCCAAATATGAACACAATTTTCATTTTGCCTTTGTTTCTTCCGGCATTTCTTCTTACTGTCAGTACTGAGGCAGAGATACATCACCCTTCTCCAGGTGATAAATGAACTGTGACTGCTCCAGACAAGAATCCAGTGACCACTTTTCACCTCCGCACAAAAGGTCGGCTGGTATAAACATTGCACTACACAGCTGTCATTGTTGCGCAGCACGCGGCCTTGACATATTTCATATTGTCCGCACTTGGGCTGGGTTGTGCCTACTTATTCGCAGCAGCAGGATACAGCCTAAGCTCACTGAGAGTGCGTGACGAGACCGGGATGACCCCCATGGCCCTCTCACACTGTATGACGACAGCTGCCACCAAACTGTCAAGCATGGCACTTCTGTCTCTTTTTTTTCCCATCATGCATCTTCCCCGGCCGATACACTCTCCACCTGTCCCCGTTTTCAACCTGCATCGCTCTGATTAGCACAGGGCTAGTTCAGTCAGCTTGGGTTCATTATTCAATAGTATGTAATGAGCTATACATCGGAATAGAAAGATATCTCGTGCTTCTTTCTGCTATATTTAGTGATAATCGGATAGTAAATTGTAAATGTACTACAGCATGAAAACATATACCGTATACAGTACATCTTCCGCCCCATGTGATGGCTGTGCAAAGTTGTATTGTCTTGATATAATGTGGAAATGCATGACAGTTTGTTTTTGAATTTTGAGTTTTTGAATAAAGTTTAAGTCATAAAATAAAAACAAATGTAATACAGCTCAAAAGCCCATTATTCATTTAAAGCAATGTACGAAAGGAAAACAAAGTTTCGGGGACATTGGATCAACCTCACTTGCTATGTGTTTTTCAATATTGGGTTTGTGTGTTCAAACGGTTTGCTTCTCTAATCTGTTGTTGGCGAATCGACAGCTTTGTGAAGTCCTCCAAGACGACTGCTATTGTGATTTATGGATATATATTTAAAAAACAAAACAATGATTGAAAGTCTCCTAACGTCTGTATTAAGTCCTGCCGTATTGCTCTGCTCTCTTCCCCTTTACGCAACATCGACGGAAACACAGGAATCGCTCAGACCATGTTAGTGAATCGCAAATTTACTTCTCTTTGGGTAAAAATGCCTGCGTATTTCTGCTGAATCACACATGCAGAAAATGAAATTGGCAAACACAATGATTAAGAGCAGTGTGTGTTGCATTGGCGTAACACACCGAAAGTTACGCAAAGTTACGCAAAGTTCTGCAAAGTTACGCAAAGATCTGCAAAGTTACGCAAAGTTCTGCAAAGTTACGCAAAGTTCTGCAAAGTTACGCAAAGTTCTGCAAAGCTACGTGTATGTCTACGTTTACCTGTATGTCTATGTCTCTGTCTCATTGATGTAGGCTTGTATATGGTAAATGTATACTTTTTCTGCTAATAATAAAAGAAAATAAGTCACGCAAAGTTATTTTTGCATGTCATGTCTTCAGTCAAATTTTGCCAGAAACCCAACCCTACTATTAAACATTACCATGCACACAATAGACATGTTGAAAAGTAATTCCGCCCAGCTTTTGTTCCCTTCAGATCAGCGCTGGTATACGCTGAAACAGTCACGTTTACACACATTTCTACCCTCCGGTCACGACATCAAGAAAACCACTCCACCATTTTGCGCACACATTCATTCAGTAGTGACACAACAGCAGCCTTCTTCTGTGGGAGCTGAATCAATCAATGCGAAAGATCGACCTTTCAATCAGAGGACACTCCAAAACGAGCTCCTGTCTCCTTCAGTTTGCCAGGTCAGATGCCTCTTAAAAAGCACTTGAATCTTAGAAGGCTGACACTTGCTTCGAAATAATTCAGTCTTGATTCACTATACTATATTCAGTAAATTGACTGTCACGAACGAAGCAACGTCCGGGTGTGATGTTTTCAACTTGTGCGCCTACAGAGTCCGAGCTTCTGTCAGTAAATGTAAATGCGCACTTTATTAGTCCCCGTAGGGAACTTTGTCCTCTGCATTTGACCCATCCTGGAATGCCGCTAGGGTCTCTGTCAGAAGCAGTGGTTGGCGTACAGCACCCAGGGACCCATCTGTTTAGTTTTGAATGCACTGGAAACAGCAGCAAGTCCTAAGTAGCTCTGAAACAGCTGCTGCTTTGTGCTTTTACATTTTTTCTACCAGAGATGTTGCTGCAGAACAGTTTTTATGGTTTTGCACTGGTCCAGATCGGAGCAGAGAGGATTCGTGGTCCAAACAGGCAAAAATCCACTGGAGGAATGGTAACTTTTCAAAAAATGCTAAGGAAGCATTTTGCTTTTTACTTTGGACTAGAGCAGAGATAATGGTCCGAACCAAGTGGCTGCTCCACCTTGTGACCCGACAGGCTGTTTCTTATTATTACTATTGTTAGCTCTTTAGAACGATCTATCTATCAATCTATCAATCCATCTATCTATCAATCTATCTATCAATGTATCTATCTATCAATCCATATATCTATCTATCTATCAATGTATCTATCTATCAATCCATCTATCAATGTATCTATCTATCTATCAATCTATCAATCCATCTATCTATCTCCAGATGTTGATACTCGGGTTAGTCAGGACCAGAGCTGGCGGATTTACCTATTGTGCATGTTTTCAGCTGGAAGGGAACCTACAAAAACACATGGAGAACATGCAAACTCCACTCAGAATGACCCTGTTCCGACTGGGATTCGAACCCAGGAATATTGCTGAGAAGTGGCAATGGTATCCACTCAGCCACCGTGTCGCCCAAGTGGTGATCGTGGAATGGAAATGTTGGTAATTGTGCTGATTTTGAGCAAGCAATCGTGGCATTCCTTCAGTGGTGTGAGTGATGTGTGTTTTTACCTGGAGTTTGGAAGTTGAGGCGGCGCAGTTCCACAGGATCCGTGGGATGGTGCAGCGGCATTTCTTTGCTGTTGGGGAGGCTTCCTTTACGAGCTTCAGCTTCTGCTCTTTTTCTGTCAACCACATCAAAAATGTCAGTGTGATAAAATAATGATATAATAGTAATCATGATCAAATATGTACGTTTATGCAATTTTTCTGCTGAGGTTTTCAGATGCTATCGTTTGCTTGGAATATTCTATAGAAAGATATTTAAAGCTGGAGGAGTCTACATGGTTTTCAAGAGACATAAAGTTTATCAGGGATTCTCAAAGTGGGACGGCTCAAATTTGGCCCACCAGACCATTTTTATCCCCCAAAAGATTATGAAATGGCAGCATTGATAGTGAGACGTTTTCTGATGTTACTTATTCTATTCTAGCCCAAAGGACAAAACAGTTTCAAATAAATCATTCCAAACATCATGAACTAATTCTGTTGCGAATAATTGCGCACAAATGATGCCTTAGATGCAAAATATGCGCTTCTAACACATTTTTCACGATAATGATGGATATTTTGAGACTTTGGTGGAGAACAATATTACAACTTTTTAAACTACAAATAAAAAACGTTATCCCCCCGTCCCGCTTCTTAGTAAAATACTTTGGGCACCCCTAATCTGACGAGTTTGAAGCTCCTAAAACTGTTTTTGGCCTTAGCTTTAGATCTGCTTTTTGACATGGAAAAGTGAACGTTGCATCCTGATTGGTTCACAACTCTACATTAGATACAAATCATTGATCACAAAAACTTATGTCTTGGATGATGGACTCCTGCTACATTTGTAACTTAATTTCTGTGAATTACGCTTTATACAGTACATATCAAATCAAGCAGGTGATCCTCCCTCCCCCAGTAATGTCAAATCATTCATCGATAAATACTATAGTTTTCAGAGTGATATAATTCTGTTCAGGTGTTTCTTTCTCCGTCTTGCTCTTACCTGTCCGGTTTGCTGCTCCATTGGCCAGCAAAGAAAAGAAATATTGACACAGCATTAGGCGGGGAGACCCTCTGCACCCTGGATTTTTAACTTATTTTATTGTTATACTCCTGCACTTAACCCTATAGACTTCATAGTTATTCAGGTATTTGAACCCTGAAACTTTATAAGGTAAGATTTGATAAGATAAGCTTTATTTATCTCACAAAGGACAAATGTACATGAAATTTACATGTCACATTTGGCATGGGTAGAAACACTCAAGATTGTGCAAAAAGAGAGGAAATGTGCAAACATGTTAAATGCATGTTAAATTATAAAAGATAGAGCTGCTAAAATCAGTAACAGAAATTAAAATATTTAACACAAGTTTCTGGTTAAACGATAGATTGAAGGCAGCGATTCTTCTACTTTGGTGCCTAAAGGGTTAAAGCTTTTAGTTTGCAACATAACCAGGACTCTAGAGCTTTAGCTTATTTAAAAATAAAGTGTACATAAGTCAGCAATCGTCCCATTATGAAAACTGAATATATACATTTTATATTACTCATAATTGATGTGGCAGGAGATCGTCCAATGTGTTTTCTTTTATTGATGGCTGTCTAAAAGTGCTTTTTTTGTCTTTGTTTTGCACCAGAGGAACACACTGTCACAGACATGTCAACAACAGAAAGCTTCTCCAGCGTGTGCACTGACTGTTCTGTTATAACGTTGGAATCAAGTCAACTCCCAAGCTCGAAAAACTTGTACCTATGAAAGTTAAGCCATGAAGGAACAGACTGTGTTTTGGATAAATCAACGAGCTTAAGCTTACACAATACCACAGAATGTTTGCTTTAAAGGTGATATCTGCAAGTGTTTTTTTTTTTTTTAATACATATTTATGTTCATATGACCCTGTAATAACATGTACATTAAGTATTTTTTCATAATAAACACCACCATGAATAATATTGACTGGAGAAAAATATTAAGACCAATCAAACATAAAGAACCATTTTTGTAGCCCCTGAAATTATTTTCAAATTGTATGATCAACTTACTGCATTGATGGTTAAGTGGATACCCAGTGTGTTATACTTTATTTAAAGCTAGATTCTTCAAGAAAACTATTCAATTTTTTTTTCTAACATTTGAATCGAAAATGCTTAGATAAAAGGTCATTAGTCATGAGTCTACATGACTAATGACGTTCTGGTGCCTTTGGGTCAATTTCTGACTCAATTCAAGTGAGTATATCCAAACTCATGTTGAATAAAAGTCATTATTTTGTCAACATATTTTCATTAATAATTGATTTTCTAACCTGTGTTGGTGTATGCAAAGGTTTTGTAAAGTCCTCTGAGATAACTACTGTTGTGATTCAGCACTATACTATAATACATTGAATTGAGATGCATAAAAAACTAGGTGTAAATAAATACAAACAATCAGGCAGACAAAGCGGCTGTTGAGGTTGCAGGTGAATGCGAAAGAGTGACAATATCTTGCAATAAACATTTGATTTGAACTACGCAGGAGGGTCTAAGGACGGTGGTGATGATCCAGGACACACAATATTCTACGAGATGTTAGGACTTTATCAACATTTACAGACATTGGTCATTTGCCCCTTATGGACCAACAGCTCTATGTATCTTTTATCAATGCATTTCTTGTGCTTTAACTTTGATTCCATGATCTGTGTTGGCAAATTTGACGGTTTCCACTGCTGTGATTAAAGAATATACAAAAATATGTTGAATTGAAATTGAATTGATTTTGAACATGATGTTAGCTTCAAGACTTGACGCAAAGTATGTTTCTGAGCTTGTTTCTCAAACTCGGCTCGCGGAAGCTCACGGGCCGCCAGCAGAGCATGTGTGGGTGTGTGTGCGTCTGTGTGTGTCCTGGCAGAGAGGGAGTGCGCAGGGATCAAAAGTGGCGTCCGCAGTGGAAGCAGCCGTTGCGTGGAGGAGGAACGAGAGTCTGGGACGCCTGCCCGTGCTCCAGGCCTCTCTGAAGCTGCAGATAGTCAAAGCTTTGGCCTCGTCCGTCTGACTGATGTGCACTGACAACAGCCTCCACTGGGATTGCGGTTCAGTCAGAGTGCTCCAGTGTGAGGGGTAAGTTGCGTGTTTAGCTGTGCGGTGGATGGATTTCTACTTAACGTATTAGGACAAACGTCGACATAGATTTAGCTGGGTTTTCTCAAGTGCAGACGTGTGATAGGTCAAAGCTTTGAGACAAAACGTTTCTCATTATTTGCAATTTACTTTTAAGAAATTGTTGGGGGGTCCTCTTTGTGGCTTTGGGGGGCCCTAATCAACTGCTTAACCCTTTAATGGTTTCCTCAACCATTTGGTGGATCACTTTTTGAGTCACTATATCTACTTGAAGTTTGGAACTGAAATCTACCTCATTGGAGAATCTCTATGACTTTTTTAAAGCACTTTCAAACTGCATTTCAACCATTTGGTGAAGGCCTATGATTAAAAAGACTAGGAGTTATAAACACTCTTCGATGTCTTAGAAAATCAGAAAAAAAGAAAAATTGACATTGCTTTCTTAAAGGAGAGAACATTAAAGAATTAAAGGGGCCGTATGTAATCTTAGTCTAATGAAGTTATTACAATTATAATCCAACTTTTTTTATTGTATCCTTTCTGCGTGTGAACTCGTTACTGATGCAATTACTTACTACTTATCTGCTTTCATCTATACTAAGGTGCTATTTTTTGGTTTGTGGATTGTGTCAGAAACAAATTCACCTAACAAACTGGTAACCCAAATGAGAGCCTTATTCTGCTCCGTGATTGGATAATCTGCTGCTTGAAACATTGTCAACATAAATATCATGAACGGCATGTAAAAATAAGAATAACATTTAAACAGTTTTTCCGATAAGGTGAAATATGATGTGTACATGAGATCTATTAACAGGTCACACATAGAAAATATGTCGCTAAAAATCTTACACATGGTCCCTTTAATAATCTTACACAGTTCCAAGGATAATCACATTCCCAAACTTTTCTCGGGCCTGAAAAATGTGTTCCCGTGTTCTGCGTCTTTTCCAGGTTTTCCATAACTTAAAATCCATTCATTTGCTAAAAATAAATGTGCAGAAACTTAATTGCTGTCGTCAGATTTGATCAGACATAATGCTTCTTGAAAAACTTGAGTACATGACAGATTGGTTCATTGAATTGGATTATGCGGGGCCAAAATGTAACGCCAAAGTCTAAGTTTCATTTGTCAAATTTAAAGCCAGCGATGCCTTGACTTTGGCGCAGTAATGCAATATATTTTTAATGATTGAAAACCCTGGGGATACATTGTTAATTCTACATAAGGTTGTTAAATATGTATAGTCACTCTACATGTATAAATCATTGTGTTTACATAATGGCTCTCTTTAGCCGCTTAAATCATTCACGTTGCCAGATCACACATGTTGACAGTGTCGCAGGGCTCACAGCAGATTTCTCTCACCTCTTGTAAAGCAGGATGGCGATCACGATGCATATGATGAAGACTACGGCCAGCACGGGGCCCACCACCCAGATCAGACCCTCCTCTTCGTCGATGATGGGCTGGGGGTCGTTGTCCGCCGAGACCACGGAGTCGGAGTAAGGGCTGGTGGCGTACATAACCTGCAAAACCAAGCAGACGCGCTGGATTATTGAAAGGAAAATAATGAGTTTTAGAGCAATGTTTTTGCTGATGTCATGTCAATCTTTTCTTATGATATTTAGTTTTAAATCTTGTCTTAACCCCTGTTTTTATGCTCTGGCTTAAAAACTGAAGCCCGAGCAAATGTTACCGCAGTGATTAATGAACAACATTGAGTAAACATGCGATAAGCTTGAATATAAACGTAATACCAACATCTCCAGCCATTTTCCCTGCTCCAACTTTTGGGTTTTTTTACATTAAAAAAACTTGTATTTGAACTATAATCATGTGTTAACTAATCATTTGTTTTTTTTTTTTTTAACTAAAAATGCTAAATATTGACAGATCACACCATAATAAATGTAAAAAAAGAGAGAAGTACACAACAGAAATATGGATTTTGTTTTGAGTTGGTAGAAAACAAAGACTTTTTTTATAAGAACAGTTCTAAGATTTCCGCGATTACAAAAATACATTTTCACTTAATCAAGTATTAATTACGGTTGTAATCGTCCAGTTTTGTAAGTTATATCAGAAATAGTATTGAAAAACAAAAGCCCAGTGGGGAGTTGACCTGATTTTCAGTGTATAAATCACACAATTGAACTTGATTGAAACCCATTCCTCATAATTGCCTCATTCACTTGCTCACCCTAAGCTTTAACAACAGTGCATTTCCTGCAGCTCTTTCTACTTAAGAAGTGACTTATGACCACGCTGACTAAAATATTCATTGCAATACTTAAAGACATCAGCTAATTTACTCCATTAATACATACATTCTTGGCTGCACAGCTTGGCCAGCCATACAAATTAAAACCTTTTCAAAGTTATGTTATTCTCGCTAGACTCCACAAAGATCTTTAAAATCTCTCCATTCGTTGAGGAGCCGTGATTGAAGCGCGAGGAGATAAAGTGGTCTTTAGGGATGGGAATATTGTATATGCCTGGCTGTCCGCGATTATCGAAAGCCTTCCAACCTGAGGCGCAGGTCAGAGGAGGGGGAGCGAGTTAGTGCGTTCATCAGATCCATCATTTCGCCTGCAGCCGCTGCTCCCTGCTCCACGCCGGACACAGGCGCGCACACACACACACACACTCGTGGCCAGATAAGGTGGTCCGCAATTAAACACGCGCGCCGTTATCAAGCTTGTTCCCGGAATGGGGCCCAGGTCTAAAGGGGCTTCTCTCCCCTACAGCGGTGAGGGTCAGCGTCTCTCCGGCCAGCCGCGAGTTTGGAAGTCAATTACTCACGAAAGGTTGAACGGAGCGAGAGAGCAACTCACGTCCCTGGCAGTGTAACGGGTTAAGGGGTATGTAACCTTATGTATGTAACCTTTATGCTCGGAAATAACATCTGTTGTGTGTCCCAATAGAAAGAGGTTTGTAAGAGTAAAATAATGTGAACAAATCAGATCAAAACACGCCACTATCAAAAAATGATTTTACAGTGTATTAAGACGGAGCCCTATGAGTCATAGTTGATGCTTTGGGCTGAGAGCTGATGGGCTTTTCAATTATTTTTTTAATTCATATCGATTTAATTTTGTATAGCCCTAAATTGCAGCTGTCATCATGGAGGTCTTTACAAAGTGGATTTTCCGAAACGGTTTGAACACAGGAAATGCAATAATAACAAACGCATAGAGCCATTGAATCATTAAGAGGCAGATCACCAATGTCTATAAATGTTCATTAAAGCTGCACTAACTGACTTTGAGAAATGTTCGAATGATGAACGGTGTCTTTTTGCTCGCCCTCCCCACACCCACGGAGCTTTCGCCCCCACTACCCCCCTCAGCCTGTGCTCACATGCTAAATGTATACGGAGCTCATGTCTCATAATGTTGATCGCACATTTGAGCGTGGATGGCGTGACCATAGAATGATAGAACCGGGAAGCGCGGAGAGGACAAGACTTTCTTTTGGATGTTTCGCTGAGTAAGCAGTAACCGGTGACAAAGACACGGGAAGTTTCAGGTTAGCCTCCGCCGCTTGTTTACCTCAGCTGTCTGTGCTAACAAGAGACCCGTGGCTTTTCTCAAGAAAGTGGGGGCCAGTGGTCCGCTGTGATTGGTCACAATCTGGACCCGAAACACATTCTCTTCCTTGCTGCACGAAAACTCGATCTAGAATAAAATGACACGTCAGCACAACTCTGCGCTTTTTCTTCAAAAGGACGTATATCCCAACGCACTGCATGGATATGAATTGAATTTTCATAATAAAGACAAAAATAAAGTCAGTTCGTGCAGCTTTATTGTCCAAAAAAAAGTCCAGGACCACTGTTCTTAGACCGTCCTGCATCGACAAAGAACAACACAAGAAAAACCTCAGTAGAAAAAAGTGGGAAAACCTCGGGGATGCCCACATGAGGGAAGAATCCGCGCCCACAGACAGACAGGCTATCGATCCAGGACTGACATGAGACTTTTTGGTTTGAAAGTTGAGCTTTAAAAAGAGCTGGAAATGACGCACAACATTGGTGAAAACTTTCCAGCATTTTAAGGATGAACAGTTTTTTTTCTACAGCCGCACAATCCTTCACTTCATGTTTTTGTCGTAAGCCTATTTGTTTACCATACTGTAATTAAAGCTGGTGCTCCCAACTTTTATCCTGCAAATGCCTGAATTATGTGTTCCTTACACAAAGTAGAAAAGAGGCTCTTTGTGGCAAAATCTCCCTGCTGCATGCTGTCTTTTTCATTCCAAAGCAGTTTATCACTTGCAAACCCAGAGGAAAGTGTTTTAGGATGAGCACAAGTTGGCTGTGCAGAAGCAGCACTTACTAAGATATGTTTTTGGAACATAATTGGTTAATAACTGAAGTTCGTCTACAGGAAAGGCCAGAGGAGGCTGCTAATGGTTAATAAGCAGATACAGGCCGAGCCCTTTTGTATGAATGTTTGTTTTTCTCTATTTTGGGTTTGAATGAAATAAATATTAGCAACAATACTAATCACAAATATATATTTAAAAGATGATTAAATACCTGCAGGTTTTTTTTCAGCTAAAACAAACTCCAAATCAACCAGTTATAAGTGTTTTCTTTGTCCAACCTTTTTTTTAAATATATATTTTTCTGTTTATTTTGAGTTTTGTTTCACGTTTGCATATGTTTGAAAAAAAAAAAAAATCTTCTAATATATGCAAATGTTTACATCAACAAACCAATCTTTAGATTTTGACATTTATTTTGACATCTTCTGAAAACAAAATGTGTTGCTTAGATTTAACCAAAACTGGGCCAAATATGAATGAATGAATGTTTTCCTGAGAAAATAGACCAAACCGTCAAAGCTGCAACTTGATAATGATAATTTAAAATCATTTACGGGTCTTGCAGGCCGGATTTGGCCCACAAGCCTGAGTATGACATGCTTCTTACAGAGATAATAAACTTACATTTTCCGACGTCTCCACAACAGCCACCACAAAGAAGATGTACTCATGTCCGCTCTGGAGCTGCTTATTCTCGAACTCGCCATACATCTTTCCATCTCCGAGCGTGAAGCCTTTGGGCAGATCCTTGAAGTAGGCTGCGATGTAGGCCCGAGGTTCCAGCTGCCTCCGGAACCGAAACTCCCGATTTGTTCTGTTGATCTCCTTCAGCAGCTGCAGCGAGAGAGAAAAAGAAGCAAAAACTACTATCACACGAGAGACATATTAAAAAAAAAAAAACCTTCATTGCAAATTCATCTGAGATTTCTCTTGCTGATTGCCGAGCTGACAGTGCTGATTGCGAAGCGTTACGGAAAGATCAATGAGTTATTTCGTCTGTTTTTGGACGACAAAAGGCTTTGATTAAAAGATAATGTAGATTTCCGGCATATAAAACAGTTCACATTATCTTGCAGGATCAAGCGGAGAAGCGGGCGCGTTTCAAATTTACTCAGTTCAATCATTTTTTTTGACACAAATCAGACACGTTAATTCAAAAGATGTCTTTGGGCTGTGCAGTTATCACATTGCTGTAACTATTTCATAAAAAACTCTTGGTGCATAGTTTCCGAGTGGATAGTGGTGTGTTTTGAAAAGGTTGACCGCTAAAATGATTGAGATAAGATAAGATAAACTTTATATATCTCACAATGAAGATATTTGGCATCAGTAGGATCACTCAGGTTGCACAAAAGTGACTATAGTGGTGCGAGTTTACATTAACACTAAATTGCTATAAGTACCCATTTTCTTAAAACTTAAAAAAACACAAGGAATTGCCACGTGATGAAATTATAGAGGACCCAAAATGCAGGAATGCAACACAAAATTATGATTTAATAAACTAAATGTCCAGGTGAAAACAAAACTCAAAATCCAAAATACAGAACCAGGAACACAAAATCAGGAACAGGACGGAACAGAAGTTGACAACACAATGGACCAGCAACAAGAGGAGAGGAGCACAGGGTACATATAGACACAGAGACACAGGTGAAACACATCAGGGCGGGGCAGACAATCAAGATAGGGGCAAACAGGACAGGAAGTACAACTAAAACCAAACCACAGAGAACAATGTCAAAATGAAACTAAAATACAAAAATAAAACCCACACCATGACAGGAATGACAAACAACAACAACGTATTCTTGTATAGCCCTAAATCACGACAGAAGTCATCTCAGAGACTTAACAAAACCATTGAAATCACCAACACAGATCAGAGAATCAACAGTTAAGACACAAAAAATACACATATGAGTTGTTTCATAGGGAGAGACCAAAGTCCATGAATGTTGATAAATGTCATACATGTTGTAGAATGTTAAAGTGTCCTGGATCATCACCACAGTCCTTCTAGTTGGACACTAACTGCCCAACAGACCCTTCTGCATCAGAGGAAAAACTCATAAGGAAACCCAGTGGGAAAAAAGTGAGAAACCTCGGGGAGACCAACACTGAGAAAGGGATCCACTCCGACATGGACGGACGGGCTTTGGATCCAGGACCCAAGCTACAAACATATTTTATTCAATACTTTGGACCATTGAGATCTAGACCTCAGTGTTTTCCCTAGATTTACTTCACTTCTCATGACATCACATCATTCTTAAGCCAATTTACTTAATATGACATATTGGAGATTTTTTTCTGTAACTTACTAAATTCTAGGATTTAGCAACTGAACGGTTGTGTTCATGTTGTAGAATTCTATTTCAATTGGAGAGAAGGTGCTGATAAATTTTTATGGGAGAGCAGCCATTTTTCATAGAAATGTTGAAAGAAAATGTCCAAATGTTTTCCCAGATCAATAATTGATGATAAAATGTCATGTTACATATCATTATGCATAAAAGCCCTTTCTAGTGGCCCACATCATGCACATGTTTTATACGAACACTTTTTTGAGAAAATAATTAGACCATAGTGAATAGACTGACAAGATCTGGGACTTTGTGACAGTTTTTACCGTGTGGATTGGCCACAGAAATGACAAAGACATGAATTATAAACTAAGATTAGAAGTCTGATTTATGATTCATGATATTCTTCATCTACTCCCCACCAAAGTTTTTTACTAAAGGGATTTGGGACGGTTTTTATGTCACATGAATGCAACCTATTGGGGAAAAAAATAAAATAAGGGAAAAGTGAATTCCCTTGAAACACCTCATGAACCCTTTAAATTCATTCATGCTTTTAGATGTATGTTTCTAATCTAAGAAAAGATTCTAACCCTTCTGGCAGTTTGACATCATCACATTCTAGATACTGAATAGATACAGAAACGTGACTGAATAGGTTTAAAATGAATAAAATGTGTTGAAAGCGATGGATATGACCTTCTATAACGTGCTCTTTAAACAGCAGCTGCAAAGTGTGGCTTATGATTATGCTAATCAGGCTGCGCTAGGTATTTGGCGCCTGATTTGGTATCTTGTTGTTCTCTGTGTGTGTGAACGTGCATGAGTGTGTGCCTGTCTGCATATGTGTAGGTGTACGTGTATATGTGTGTGTGTATGTGTACTTGTATGTGTGTGTATTTGAGGTTAGGTGACATGTATGCGTATATTTTGTGTGTGTGTGTACATATGTGCGTGCGTACGTGTGTTTGTATGTGTGTGCGTATTTGTATAGATGTATGTGTGTGTGCGTCGCTGTCATTCCCGTAACGGTGTGTGCGCTCCCCTCATGGTGTTGTGTGTGGTCTGTTTTGGCCGCGGGGCTGTTGGTACTGCCCGATAATGTCTTCAATCATCTCTCCTGTCAACACGGCTAAATCTAGCTGCCCTTGGGAAAAGTTGTGAAAAGGTGAGTGCCAATATTGACAAACAAATAAATTCTGACAGAGGGGTGACTTTTGGGCAATTGGTCAAGGCGACAGACACAGACCTGTAGGCAGCAGCGCCCAGGCCTACGGTGATGAGACAATGTCGGGCGTCATTTGGTGTTCAAATGTCTTATACCAAGATAAATATTTTACCAATTCAATATTATATCAATTTGAGAAAGAACAGACACTGCCTAGAAACGGATATTTATCTTTATTTTATTTGTTTTTGGTTGAATAAACTATTTTAATGATACATTTCCACTCAACTCAGCTCAACTGTATTTATCTATAGAGCCCTTTAAAAACAACACAGAGACGCAAAGTGCTGCACACAAACAAAACACAACGTTTATATATTTAAGACATAGGGTTTAAAAATGAATATGATTGGAAATGAGCAGGGTCCCTTTTTTGGTACTTTGTCTATGTGTTTAATTGAATTGAACTGCAGATTAATCAACATGTTTCTATGTATGCCAGAGTTAGTCCGATAGGCTTTTTTCCATTGGTATGTTTTTGATATTTTTTTCAATATAATTCCAGATTGTAAAATATTGTTTGCAACTTTTTGATTCTGCTATTTACACACTTTCAATGAATTAAAAAAAATGGACATAAGAATTTTGAAAAATAAATATTGAAGAAAAGATTGAAACAAAAAATGCGGTATAATCTTTTAATTGTGATCGTTTGATTGAAACCAGGTATTGCAGTTGATCATTTTTCAGCGTGTCTTCAAAATATTTTTATTCCGATAATTTTTCAAAGCCCATGGGGATTTTCAACGGGGAATTTTTAACATCCGGCTTCCTAGACCATATGATCATAAGCCACGTTAGCCTGAACGTGAAATTCAGCCTATAACTATCAAATAATTCATCAGCGAGTTTATTCATGCATGCAGCACATAGAAACTCCAATGCGACCAGAAAAGTTGTCAAGTGTTTTGTGCACAGTGAGCTAGCTTGCGTCGGAATGAGAGAAGACAGGAAAGGCCTGATGCAGCTCTTCAGGTAATTACAGCCGCCACAGAAAGGAGGAGGAGGGGACGAGGGTTGAGTTTGCAGTGCGCTTGATGGCTACTTTGTGTTCTCATTTCCATATGAACAGTGCTCTCTGCTGCTATTTGCGTCAATCAGCGTGACACATCTCTTGTTCGTCCTGCCCTCTCAAAAACTACAGACCATGTTTTCTACGTTGCCGAGAAAAATATAGTGCGACGCCAGTAAAGCTATACGGGTTTCAAAGGAGTCTGGTGATAGGGGTCAGTGGGACAAACTCACCTCTTCCCAGTTCATCTCATCAGGATTCTCCCACGGCTTGAAAAACTTGCCGCTTCGTTGTTTTCTGAGAGGCACCACCACAACGTAGTAGCCCCTGGGGAACATACAGAGACAGATTATAGCAGAAAAATACTGTTGGATTCATTCATAAAGAAGATTTTGGGGTACTGTGGACATACTTTGCACTGTGGACCCCTTTATGTCTGTATACTGCTACACGTTATTATCTGAAGAACTGAACATATTTTCACTGAGACACATTGTTACTACAGTGTCTATATCCTAAGCCTGTGTTATCAATATCTCAAGTGATGACGTCATCTGTTCTTATGCACATTGATACAAATCATATACAAATCTTGGTCTCCTTTTGGTCCCATCCGTGAACCAGACCAACCAGCTAACGTGAGATATTTTGCATATACTGAAGAAGAATGAATACTGTGCATCCATATTTGATTCTTTGAAAATGGATGGATGGATAGATGATTTGAAAGCTCATTGGCTGTGTCTAAAAAAGTTGATCTAGAAACACATGCATGTAAAAACTAGTGGCAGTAGCAAACAGTTTTGAGAGCAAGTTCAATGGACTCTACATCAATTACATAATGGCATTATTTGTGGTTTGAAAATGTGGTTCCCCTGCTTAAACTAGTGTGACTAAAGTTCTTTTCCATTTCATTGAAGCTTGCTCATGACGCCAGGCAGTGTAGATGCACCTCACTGAGGCACACTGGGCTAATTAGAAGACCTCTGTAAAAAGATGAGAATTAGAAGAATTTGGTTGCTTCATCAGGGTGGTATGAGAGATAAGGGCTTTTGCTAGAGTGCTCTGGCCTTTCTCATTGGGCACCACACACAAGCTCATGATAGCCAGAGACGCAGTGTGGCAGGCTAATGGGAAACTCATTAGCTTAAGCTCTGGCATGGGAGAGAGTGGGCCGAGTGCATCCAGCAACATCAAAACACAAGATGGGTTTGAAGCCGCAGACTACAGTTGGATGTGCTGCTGGCGCTATGACAACACAGGCTTTGTCTCAATGCTCTGAGGACTTCACAGAGCTTAGAGTTCACAATAGGAAGTGGAGTTAGTTCTATGTGTGCTGAGTATACTAAGTAGACACATGAAAGTCAAAATGGAATGGATTGCATCAAAGAAACAATGGGCTTAATATTAATGGATGTCTGCCTAAGCTACATGTTAAACCATTACTGGAGATATGTAGTAGTTGAAAACACCAAATGGCTACACACTGTTTTTCTATAAAGAGTTAAAAGACATACTTTCAAAACGCAAAAATCTTACTAGCTCCTCGCTCAAAAAACAGTTTGGTTCCAATACAAGTCTACACATGTCTAGATCAGCTTTCTAAGACGGAAAAGTGAAAAGAGAGGACCACCCTAACTCAGCCCAAAGTGTAAAATAGTGACTCAGTACAGAATACAGCAAGTTGGAGTCTGATTTTTTTCATAGACTTTTTATGTTGGGACAATCAATGTGTTTTATTCCTGCAAAGAAAGAAGTTACGAATCCCAGCTTTAACTTGAGTATTGTTATTTGACGCTAGAGTTGTGCGCCTCTTTCCTACTGTTCTATAACTTGTGATGCAACACTGTGGGACGAATAAAGGATCTCTTAATCTTAATCCTAATCTTAGCATTATAGAACTAGTGTGCGCTCCAAAAGTGTATTACATGGCAGTGTTTTCCTCACCTCACTCTCTCAGTAGTATGCACCGTCGGCAGCTCTACGGTCATCATGCCGTCGGAGTTGGTCTTTCCGATCAGATATGGTTTGGTGCGTAGAACGTCGGGAGCCGTCATGGTGGACACTCGATGCTGCAGACCCCCGGCGCTGTTCCCGCGATTGGTCAGAAGAAACGAGTATTGCGTCTCCGGCTGCAGCCCCGTTATGAGCTTCTGCGTCAGCTTCCCGTCCACTTCCACGCTCTGGCCTTTATCGTAAAGGATCTGCACAAACGGTGTTGAGTGGGTTTTTTCACGACATGCTTTTTACGCTGATGTTATAATCTCGTATAAAATGTTAGGGCTCTCACGGTGAATGGTTGCGCTGGGTTGTAGGTGTCAGGAATATCCCAAGTCAGCAACACGGACGTCTTCATGGCAGCTTTCACGTGGAAGTTTTTTGCAAACACTGCTAAAAGAAAGGGGGAGCAGATGATTTAGACACACAACCTCTTCTCTGGTGCTTCTCCTGGCTTGCAAGCGGCCCCATTCCCAACGCTTACCTCGCAAAGCCTCCTCCACCAACATCACTGTGACATCTTCACTACTCTCAACCCCTTACCTTTGCGTCAACACCAACTACAGACCGCCCTGTGCTTGACTTGCCATCACGCTCAGACATAAATACTTACACCATGTTGCTTTAAAATGTTATGTTTGTGAGAAAAAAAGGAAGAAAGACATGTTGTGATGTGCTGCTTTTTTTTCAGACAAGGAAAGACGTTTTATGAAGAGGATGCTGACTGGATTGAGGCACTGGTCCTACCTTGATCCAAAGGCTGTGTCCTGAACTGAACAGAGGGGCTATAGGGGCCGGAGCCTTTGCTGGTGAAGGCACACATTTTAATATCGTAAGTGGTGTCTGCTCTAAGTCCATCGAGGATGACCGTCGACTCTGGAGCAGTGATGAAGAGTTCAGAAGGACTGCGGGGACTGTTGATGTCTTTGTATTGCAGCGCATATTTCACTATTTTCCCATTGCGCTCGGCAAGAAGAACCGGGTGCCAGTTTACTTGCACGGTTGAGGTAGTGGCGCCCTCTGCTGATATGCTCTGAGGATAGCCGCTCGGTACAGCCTCGTTGGTCGTGATATTTTTGACCGTTTCCTCACCAAAACCCACTTTGTTGCGGGCGGAAAGGCGGAAAGTGTAGGAAGCCCCCTTGTGGATCTCTTTGGTAGTGTAGTGGTTTTCGCGCTCGGGGAACTCGATGACGGTCAGAGGTTCTACGTCTTTGCGCCCAAATCTGAGCCTGTATCCTTGTAGGGGGCCATGGGTGGAGGCGGGGGGATGCCACTGCAGGAGAGCCGTGCCCATGTTGGTGGTGCTGATCATGAGTCTGGGTTTTTCTGGAACTGCAGGAAAGACAGACACAACCTCAATATTGGTAAGAGGGAGAGGTAATAATAATAATAATACATTTTATTTTAAAGCGCCTTTATAAACACCCAAGGATACTGTCCAGGACATAATAAAAAAATTAAAAACAAGAGCAACAGAATAAAACATTAGTGCAACATGGAATGGTGGGGGGGCGTGTGTGTTAGGTGGGGTAGAACAGATGGGTTTTGAGTCTGGATTTGAAGAGTGGAAGAGAGTCAATGGTACGGAGGTCAGGGGGGAGAAAGTTCCAGAGCTGGGGGGCAGAGTGGCTGAATGCTCTGTGTCCCAGGTAGCTAAATTTTGAAGGGGAAAAACTGAGGTCTGAGCCACAAAAAATCAATTGTAATTATGTGTTTTTCATACTTTGCTAAACCCTTTAGGCGCCAATTTTATTTCCAGAATTTGATCCAAAAAAAAAAAGAGCTACAACAACTACAAATGTTTAGGAGACAGATGACTACCCAAATCAAATCCGGAAAATCTTGGAAAATCTTTAAGAGAAACCAATTTGCTGTATAAAACATATCCTGGAATCTTAAGCTCACACAGCAATTTTATAGACTAATAATAATATTGGTTCATATTGATTATTGGCTAGTCCAACAGCAGTAAGTTGGGCTCATGGGAAACTTTAAAATGTACAGATTAATTGTTAATACCATTTAAAAAACGTTCATTAAAATAAACATTTTTTAGAGAGGAGCTATTTCAATTCTAAAGACTCATATCTTGGTGTTCAGTGGTGGATTTCTTCAATAATGTACATATGATGCACTCAAACTGTGATTTACCTGCCCCGGTGGTGGTGACCAGTTTGGGCTTGCTTCGTGCGCCGTCGCCCTTTGTGGTGTATGCGGCCACTGTCACCGAGTATGTGGTCTCAGCCTGCAGCTCCGAAATGATCATTTCCTGTGAGAAGGGGAAGAGGACTTAAATGGCTGGACTTGTACTTGCTGACTTGCAAAAATAGGCCATAAAAATAGGAGTGAGATAAAAGGGGGCTGCGTGACGGTTCATAATTACAAGAGCCTATGCTTGAAATTGGGGCATGCTTCAGCGAGAGGATAGTTTTGATAAGGCTTTATTTAATGGACGCGGAAACAAAGTGGTGTTATCAGCGATCTCTAATTGAATTTAAACCTTTCACATACAATCAATAGCATTCTACCCGAACATATTGGAGGTCTTGTGTTATTGGAAAAACAAAATGGCGTAACAACATTAACAGCAGACGTTCAATTACCATTTCGAAAATCAAAAAGATCTACTCACATGTTCTGTTGAATCATCATATTCCGTCTGGCAGTGATAAGAATTAGAGAAAAGGGAAAAGATGTTAGGAACAGTAATTGTTATTGTCATTACTTTGTGCTTTAACTGAAATGTATGTTTTACAGATTGGGGCTGGCTAATTTGAAATGAGTTTAAGATTGAAACTTGTTTAAAAAAGTTAGTTGAAATATGCATTTATTTATTGTACTAAACATTGAAAAAAGTTTTTATTTCCCAACCACAAAGTGCATGCCAAAATTTGCAATGTCACATTTAATTGCGTTTGTCTGAGATTATGATTGGTCCTGTGTCCAGCCGAATACCAACCGACATATCCATAAACTAGATAAATCATTAGTCTAGTCCAGTCTACTGGTCGAAACCACAACTATTTGTTGATTTGTACATGGACATGTATTTGTGTGCCCTGTCGTTACACAGTACTACACACTGTATGTGTGGCCAAAGAAAGCACAGTCAAATTAGTGTGGTTTGGTTAAAATTAACTTAAATAAAAGGACACCTCATTTGTATCAAATCATATAAAATATAAGTCAGCATCTGTTACCTGGGAGATCAACCCAATTCTGCATTTTTTCATAAGACCCAAAACACGAGTTATATGGTATTTAAGTATTGACGTTTATGAATATCTGCATATATTTAAAAAAAAATTGTATTACTTATCAACCTCCTTGACTAATTATTGGTTTTAAAAAAAAAAACATATCTGTCAAACCCTAGTATAATTACCTTGAGTGTTGTGTTCTAATTGGCAGTAGACTGAGTCAGTTTGGGAGTTTGTCGGGAGAGGAACTGTCTGTGTGTGTGTGTGTGTGTGTGTGTGTGTGTGTGTGTGTGTGTGTGTGTGTGTGTGTGTGTGTGTGTGTGTGTGTGTGTGCGTGTGTGCGTGCGTGCGTGCGTGCGTGCGTGCGTGCGTGCGTGCGTGCGTGCGTGCGTGCGTGCATGTGTGCGTGCGTGTGAGATGAGCTGCACACTGAGGAGGGGGCTGTACCTGGGCATCATCAATCAGGATGTCCTTGATGACTGGCTGTCCTGTGGGCTCCCCATTAACCATCCTGACATAGTGCACCTGGTACCCTCGGATCTGACCGTGCTGCTTGGTGGGCGTGGGCGAACGCCAGATCACTTTAATTGATGAGGAGTTGACAGCCTCCACCTCAACTTTACGAGGTGGCCCGCTAGGAACTGGAGGAACATCATGGGGATAGAAGAAAAAGGGTCAAAATTATAGAGAACCCCTGACCTAGCACTTAAAGTCTGCCCGGTTATTCTAGTAGAAAGTGCTGCAGTGATTTTAAAAAATGACAAAATTGTAGCAAACTGCAACAGGCATTGCATGACATCAATATTTCAACAATGGTAAGGGAAAAAACAACAGCAAAAACAGGTCTGACAACTGACCTAATCTTGAAACAGTAAAAATGGGGTGGGTTTTCAAAACATGGATAAAAATGTGTTTTGCCAAAATAGAAAAATGGAGCCAAAAGTGGGCTTCAAGTTTCACAAGGACTTGAAGCACCGCAAGAATTTTTGGCTATGGAGCAAGGAAAAATGAATACAACATGATTGTATTGCATGAGTGGCAAAATCTTTTAAAAATGGCCTCAAAAACAAGAAAAACCTTCCATTTTTATTTTGTTCCCATTGTCAAGAACTTGTTGCTTTTTCAAGTTCCTCAAAAAAGTCTGTAAAAAAATATCAAAAATCCTGCCTTTCAAAAAAAACAAAAAACTGCAGAGACAGACAGATGGGATTTGGAAGTCACAGGCCCAGCTTCAGAAAATACCATACCATATGTTGAAATTGAGCCGCAAAGTCAAAAATATACAAAAAAAAAATTGTCGCAGTTTGTGTTTGAAAAAACTGGTTCCAAAATTTGGCGTCAGGAGCAGGCAAGAAGAAGAGTTGCGTAGCGGTTGTTAGTAACTGTTAGGGGGCGGGGTTAAGCAGCTTGAAGGAGGGGCACATACCGTCCTCCTCTGTCCGGACGAGTAGAGGTAAGCTCTGCGGCCCTGAACCCACATCTGTATGAGCGCTGACGGTGATGCGATACTCAGTCCATTTTTCCAGATTTTCCAAAAGCTGCTGAGTGGTTTCTGGGGGTATGTTGTCGATTTGATGCATTGTCGTGTCCTCTCCATCAATGGCAGTGTATTGGACGGCGTACTTTGTTATAATCCCGTTTTGTAAGTCCGTTGAAGGTGGCCGCCAACTTACCAAGATCTTTGTGGAGGTGGAGCTGAGGCACTGGATGTCCTGGGGCGGGCCAGAGGGCTCTGTTTTTGTGCAGCCCGTCAAGAATTAAAAGTTGTTTTCAATTGTTGGATGTTTTTATTTGGAGTTGATTTTGTCAGGGAAGGGGTGGAGGTGATGATGGGAAGGTGGTGGAGGTGGTGGTGACCAAAACAGAAAAGGAAAAATAAGACAAAATGAGGAGACATCACAGGGACTAATGAGGATAAATAAAGTATAAATCTATTAGAAATATCAACCAAAATAAAGGCTGGAGCCAACACAAAATGTTCACAATGGTGATGAATGTATGGACGCTCAAAACATGACCTACCTTTGCCAAAGACAACAAGCAGAAGAAATAATCATACACCTTATCTTTCAGAAACGTGTTCATTTGTTTTAATCCTTTGCCTATGCATGAATTTGAGTAATTCAGAAACCATTCAAACTGAAATATACTTTGCAAGCAATTACCATCAATCCAAAAACATAAAGGTTGATGCTTGAGCTACGTCAAAGAAGAAATCTTGTCACCAACCTTTCCGAAGCCTGTTGGTTTGTGGTAAAAGCCTGACTGTACAACAGAGAACTTCCCAAGGAGACAGGTCTCATTAAGTATTTTACCAACATGATCATGCACTACTCTTGACTTCTTATTTCTCCCTTTGTGACCTACCTGCTCTCAGTTCTGCATATATCTCACATTTAATTATTGTGATATAGAGAGCTAAATTAGAACATTTTGGTCATGCTCAATATATACAAATCTGGATAAATATTATATAATCCGTACGTTGAGCTTTCTCTGATGAAGCCACTGTTTTTGAATCATATTTGATGATGTTGATACATTGGCGTCTCCCTCCATAGAAAGCTCAATGCAGCATTTTGTTTGGGCTGACGTGCAATGCCAAGAGACAAGGTCTTTATGGACCAATCATGCCCTTTTATTTCACAAGGGTGTTTTCCACATAAATATTTTAAAGTCCCATCACACAATTGGACCAAAATATTTCTCACAACAAAAGTGGAGAAAGCAAACTTTTCCTAACCTTGTCTCCTCACTTCACAGAAAGCCCTTGTCTGCTGTCCATGCAACCTTTTCAAAGCGAACACTGCATGGCCATAGACTTCAAAAACACTCATTTACTACCCCCAATGTTTACATTGCTACTATTTTCAAATGCATCAAATCTGGAGGAGAAAAACTGTACTTTTCTTATCAGCAGTCAAGACCTTCTTGACATTTTTATCACTTTTGAGGGATTTTGCGGAGTGCGTGAAGTTTGGAATGCATTTGAAAATGTGTTCCGTTCCAAACCGTTTAAAGCTCTGTCAGATAAGGAAGAGGACCTACGTGTCTGAGGGGTTTCTGCCGAGATCTCGTTGGTGTAAGCCCCCACTCCATGTTTACTGCGAGCAGCCAGCCGGAAAGTATAAGTTGTGAAAGGCTTCAAGTCCTTCAGCAGGTATGTGGTGGTGGGTTCAAAACTGATGCGCTTCTGTGGCAAAGAGAGGAACAGATTTCAATAACATACAACGGATTGAAACTCATTAGAATAGTTTGAAAATAAACAAAAATCCTATTAACTGTTTTGAGTCGGGCTACAGCTTAACAGTAACAAAGTGTACTATTGCTTCATTATTTACACTTAGGAACTATACTAATGTGCTAAAACTCTTACTGCTGCTTTTGCATCAACTAGCAGCAACATATTTTGTTACTTATTTATTCTGTAATGTCTGGCAAGAGCCTTTATGAGTTTATAACATCCAAGAAGAAAATTGACCTGATCATTTGTATTGATCAGAGAGAGATAGGCCTAGAGTTTTACTGAACCGAGGACCCAATATTACAGAGGGGCACCGAAAAATACTGGTCAAATATTTTGAGTCAAGTGAACAGGAAGTTTAGAAACTGCTTTTGGTCCAACCCTAAACTGTTTTCTTTCCTGAATGTAAATGAGGAACTCGCATTCTAACTACCCGCCCCACAACAAACCAATGTTTTCTCCAAATGCTTACCTCTTCTTTGTCGTCCCTTTTCCTATACATCAGCTCATATCCTGTGATCAGGTTCTCCTGGCCGCTCTGTGCTGGTGTGACCCATGAAAGTAAGATGCTTGTTTCTGATTTGGCTTCCCCTTTGAAGTCAGTTGGTTGGGATGGAACTGGAATAAGAAGAAAGGCATTAATTTTGACTATTTCTCACATAGAACTATTACAGCCAAAAGCAGATGCTACTTTGTGGCCTAAACGTTTCAATTAGTGCCACATTGCATCTCAGAATTCACTGGCTTTCAATCAAATAAACGGAAAAAACTTTGTTTGTGAAGTTTTGTTATTCAGATTGGTGCGATCAAGGGTTGCACCAACTACCTGATGTTCCCGAAACTACCCACTAATGAGGCTTGGGGATCAGACACCAAAGAATAGCAAACATGGTTGAGTTTTGCAGTAATTATGCATTGATAACAACCAGTTTTGCTCACCTCCTGTTTTGGCTATGATCTGAAGATCCGGTGAAAGCGGTCCATCACCCACTGAAGTATAAGCCAAAACTTTGATGTAGTACGTCTTATTGGGAGTGAAACCTTGGATAGTGACAAAGTTGGCCCCTCTCACGATTTGCTTGTCCCACAGGTTCACGTCCTGCGTCGAATCCATTGTATAATAGACTCTGTATCCCATAATTTGTCCATTGGCTTCCTCCGGCTCATCCCACTGGATCACAGCGGTCGTGGTGCTGAGCATGTGCCCGCGAACCTGCCTCGGAGCCGTGCTTGGAGCCTGTTCTGCGGTTTTGGCTTCGATGGTTTCGCTGGGCGGTCCTCTTCCAATGTTGTTCACCGCCACCACTCTGAACTCGTAGTCGGAGTACGGACTGAGGCCTCCCACGCTGTAGCGGGTTGTGGCCACTCCATCGATCTCTTTGTAGTTATCGTCAGAATGCTTGGACTTGTGTTGAATGATGTAGTAGCCGACCGCCTCGGGATTCCCGGAGTCCCAGGTGAGGGTGATGCTCGTGGCCGTACGTTCGGTCACGTCGGGGACACCGGGAGCTTTGGGAAATGCTAAAAAGAGAAAAGTGCAATGGTTTTACTCGAACTGAACTGATGGGTGTACGTTTTCATAGCTGTATTGCAACAAAGTTTGTGCACAGACTCCTTTTTAGTCCAATCTTACTGTCGTTCATCCTGGTAGGCTGCAAAGGCGGGTATTTTGTAGGTCAAGTGGCAAGTGTTAGGATTTTGTTTTTTTAAAAGGCTCAAAAAACACTCCTTCAATGCTCTAACATTATCACAACTTTCACGACGTATATCCTCGAACTGAAATGGCTCTCTCCCCAAAAAACAAATGATTCAATTTATAGTGTTCTTTTGAATGCACTTTTTGCTGGTAAACTCATCGCTTTTGAAGCATAAGGGTCCTGTCTGCATTCTGGGAATTTATGAGAATATTTTAATTTATAATTGGGGTCAATTTTTTATTTTTATAAATAATACATGCTGTTTATAAAACTGAAATATTGTGAACAAATCAGACAAACCTTTTCTCATTTGTATACTTTTAAGAAAGAGTTCTGCGAGTCACATTTTGACGCTTTGGGTTGAGAGAGTGTGGTCCTCTCTTTTGTGTTGATGGTCTGAAAATGTGAGGCCAAAAATACATGCAAGTGAAAACTAATGATTATGATTTAGAAACTAGTTACATAGATTTAATTTCATGGTTATTTTTGTTGTGGTTTGAAAGTTAGACACCCCAACTTTAAACATTCATAAGGAGTATTCTAATGGTTTTATTTACTCTTTTACAAAACAATGGATGGCAATTTTAACTTTTTATACAAAGATAATGGTTTTTACACTAAAAAATGAATGACTTATGACTAAATTCCAGCACATTCTTCATCTGTTTTGCAGCAGAAATGAAAGCCATTGGCTCAGCCGCCCTCATAGTGGTTTCTTAATCAAAGTTATATACATTTCATTAGAACACATTTAAAAAAAAATCACAAAATTAATGTATTCACTGTAGTAAGCCTCTGTTAATTCTGTGAGTGTTGAGGTTTATGGCTGCCGTTCATTTACCAGCTTGCTGCTCTCAATATTGATGATGTGTGGCTATGTATAAAATTCCTAAAGGAGGATTATAATCTTTAACACTTTCCCCCTTCACGCTCACCCATAGAAACCACTGAACAAACGCATTTATACTGTACATAAAACAATGAGCCAGTCCACCCGCAGCTGCTGGAGGCCTGGCCGCCGTTAATCTCCCATTTTCACAGTGTTTTCTAACATTAATAATTTAAGCGGTAAATTTATTGCTTTAATTCCCTTCACTGTGGCACATTTCGGCAGATATCAGAGCCATAGATTGTCTTTATACGGCGTGTGAAGTGTGCTTCTGGGGAGCGCCGGGCCAGACAGTTATATTGTGACTAATATCTATGTTATGTATTGGAAAAACAAAGCGCAGCAGAGTGTAAGCCCCTTGTGTATGTTGGTGCACGCCGACATCCCCGAAACTCGTACAGTAGATAAGATTACGGATAGATAAGTACTGCGGCTGCCTACTTGGGGCGTCAGATACGGCGTTTACCCCCCACACGTGTCACTTCTACTGCCAGTAAACCAATATAGCGAGTGTGTGGCTTTTGCAGAAATCTAGCCCAGAGAGAAAACACTTGAATACATTTGCGAGCTGGGATCTAATGCAGGTTTGATTCCACAGGGACGGGTCATGTGGCGAAAACGTTTAAAAACAGGCTGTTTATGGACCGCACAGTCTGAATAGTGGAGCCAAATTAGTCGTATGGCATTTTCAGTGTCGGGGTAATGCTGTTATGTATTCGGAATAAACTGCATCCCCTTAAAATGACTACTTTATAGTCACGCTTTTAGAGTAGTTACTTTCAGAAAATCACGGGTTGTATACTTTCTCAAATTGCGTTTTAAGGTTAAAAAAGAAAGCATTGGGAATTCTTAAAGTGAAGGTTCTACTTTTTCTAGTTATTAAATGGCAGCTGTTGAAGTATTTTGACTTGTTTTACAAAAAAATTAATTATTACAGAACCTGTTATATGCATTTAAACATATACTGAGGTTTAGAAATGTACCTTTATAAGTTTTGTAAATACACATTTCTTTACAATGAATAATAATAAGACAAAATCATAATGTAAAAATATAAATACATGTATTTGGAAAACAGGTACTACTTCTTCCAAAGTAATGAAATACTATAAAAAATACATTTTAGGGAATGCATTCAGTATTCTGGAACGAAGTACATTTTCAAAGTATTCTACCCAACACTGTGCATTGCTAAGATGCTGTAAAAGGCAAGTTTATTTGTATCGCACAAGTCAGACACTAATAAACTTTAAGCGCTAATCTGAAAATACAGGTTTAATGTCACAATAATAATTACTATATTGACTTTCTATTCGATAATTATTTTTCGGAACAAGAAATTTTGGGGTTAAAGGTATAAAGGGAGGATTTTCTACTTGGATTTTTCTATTTGGGAGGATTTTCAGGTGGATCATCAAGACTATTGGTCCTCCTAATTGGTGACACGTGCTCATAAAACAATTTTTTGTGTGAAATTAAGAAAATCCTCCAATATACCGTAGCTTTGATGTAATCTCTGGGAGTTATCTTACAATAGCAATAAAAAAAGTAAAAAATCTAAATCTCTCCTTGAACACAAATTAAGAGTTTTTTTGTGCGTTTACCTTTGACGGTGATCTGTGCCACGGCCTCGATGACCCCGAGCGTGGACAGGGCCACACAGGTGTAGTTCGCCGACTGCCGCACGTCGGTGAGCTCCAACACGTTGCGTCCGATCGGCATGTCGTCCTCTGGCGTCAGGTCCTCGGCTCCCAGCATCCACTTGACGTAGGGCATGGGCGACCCCACGGCCACGCACGTGATGTTCACACTACCCCCGGGCATGATCTCGTTGTCCGTTGGCGGGATGGAAAAGCGAGGCGGCACTCTGCGGACTGCAAGAGACCGAGGATGTGAGTTAGTACGCACAACCAGCGGCAAACACGAACAGATGAACATTCGTTTAAAGAGGACATATGATGAGAAGGTTTCATTTCATTGGACTACAGTGACAAATGTTCGGATGTGTTTTTGTTGTTTTTGTTATTGACTTTTTATATTGTTTTAATGTTTTTTTTTTTGGGATCCAGCTCTGAGAAAGGCGCTATATAAAAAAAAAAAAACTTGACTTACTTATTTAGTGATTTCATATGATGCTTAATATGAGATGTGGTCCTAATGTACATGTATGATGCTGTATATATGTGTGTGTGTGTGATACTGTGTGTGTGTGTGTGATGCTGAATGTGTGCGTGTGTGTGTGTGGGATGCTTTATGTGTGCGTGTGTGTGTGTGATGCTGTATGTGTGTGTGTGTGTGTGTGTGAGGCTGTATGTGTGCGTGTGTGTGTGTGATGCTGTGTGTGTGCGTGTGTGTGTGATGCTGTATGTGTGTGTGTGTGATGCTGTATGTGTGCGTGTGTGTGTGATGCTGTATGTGTGCGTGTGCACTTGTTTTCAACTCCTGGTGGGTTCCATAACCTGAGATTCCACTCACGTCATGGGGACTGGTTTTACGTGGTGGGGCCCGAACACCGGACCCCACTGGTCCAAGCTTAATAATCAATGGGTAATGCTTTTCTAACGGTCCTTATGCAGTCTCTGTAAAAATATGGAAAGGACCCCTGGAGGTTTACTTTCCTGAAAAAAGTGTGTTATGTGTCGGAACCCTGGTGGTGGGTTGCGGGATATCAAGGAGGGGCACACTGGGGCAATTTCAGTCCAGCAGGCTGGAGCCAATCATGGAGCAGCACAACAGAGGAAATCAGGTGTCAGGCTAGAAAAAGGTGCAAGTGTGTGGTTCATTAGGCTGCAAGAAATCATGGAGGAGCACACTGAAGCGCACGCTTACAAACCACTGGTAAGTGCTGACTACAAGTCATGACTTCAAATTGTTATATAGAATGATTACAAATTATTTGTTGTTTGTGCAGCTTAGTCAAGAGTCCCTAATTGATGAAGTCGACTCAGATTCTGACGATTTAACTGTCAAGAAGAAACCTGTAAAAAAGTATGGAAAAAGAAAAATCAAAAACACTTTTCTTCAAGACTCGGAAAGTGACGAACCAAAGGCAAATAAGATTGTTATCATGCAGCTGCAAAAGAAGAAAAATGGGGGGCGAGTATACAGCAAGAGACACTTCTGCCTCTACTGTTCAATGTCCTGCCACAAAATGTCCCGTCATTTGACTAGAAAACATGGAAATGAAAGTGACGTAGCCAGAGCATTGGCTCTACCTGTGAAATCTAAAGCACGTAAACTTCAGTTTGATTTGATCAGGAATAGTGGAAACCGTGAGCACAATTTTGAGGTTTTAAAGGCCGGCATTGGAACTTTAGTCCCAGCTAAACAGCCAAATTCCCCAGTTAAATCCAGTGAGTTTTTGCACTGTATAGACTGTGGGGCATTGCTTAAGCGAAAGTCGCTGTGGAGGCATGTGGCCAGGTGCCGGCTTTCACAGAAAGATGCCCAGGCTAAACCAGGTAGAAGTAGGGTCCAGTCCCTCTGCTCCCTAGCCCAGCCTGTACCGGAGGGCATCAGCAAAAAGCTGTGGTCTTTAATTTCGGCAATGCATCAGGATGAGGTCACGGGTGTTGTCAAAGCAGAAAAGGGGATTCTGAGACTCGGAGAGCACCTGTACTTAAAACACGGGCATGATAAGACAAAGCATGATTACATTAGGCAGAAAATGAGAGAAGTCGGTAGGTTAATTAACGAAGCAAAAACCGCAGGGAAACTGAAAACAATTAAGGATTTCTTTATTCCTTCCAACTTTAACCATGTGATTGATGCAGTCAGGTCTGTGGCTGGATATGATGAGGAAACAAATCAATACAAGACTCCATCCTTGGCCCTCAAACTCGGCCATAGCCTCAGAAAGCTAGCAGATATTCTTGAATGTGACTCAAAAATGGAGCATTGTGTTGATGAACTATTTATTAAAAACCTCCAACGAAGCCGGCTGCTTTTTGAGAAGAGGTGGGACGTCTGTGTTTCTTCTGCTGCCCTACAGACCCTCCGGCAAGCCAAGTGGAACACTCCGGACCTGCTCCCTCTGACTGAGGACGTTAGAGCCATGCATGCACATATTGAGGTATGTCGACCTGAATATGTGCAAACCCTAATAAGTGAGCCAACGTCTAAGCATTGGTCTAAACTGGCAGTTTTGACTCTTTGTGAGGTCATCATTTTCAATCGAAGAAGGGAAGGTGAGGTTTCAAAGATGCCACTGACAGCCTTTACCTTAAGAAGTAAGACTGGGATCCATTCTGACATTGCTCTGGGACTGTCCCAACTTGAGAAAAAGCTGTGTCAGCATTTTCAACGCATTGAAATTAAAGGGAAAATAAGTCGGAAAGTGCCGGTTCTTTTGACTCCTGAAATGATTGCTTCGATGGAGGTGCTGGTGGAGAACAGAAGGGCCTGTTCCATCTCTGACCATAACCCATACTTCTTTTCCCGCCCGGGCGCAGACACCCACATCAGGGGATCAGACTCCCTACGCCAGGTAGCCAAAGAATGTGGTGCGGTGCATCCAGAGATGCTATCCTCAACCAAACTTAGAAAGCACATAGCTACTATGTCTACAGTTCTCAATATGAAAGAGAATGAGATGGACATACTTGCCAACTTCCTCGGCCATGACATTCGCATCCACAGGCAATATTACAGACTACCAGAGGGGACACTGGAGCTGGCCAAAATCAGCAAAGTGTTGATGGCCATGGAGCAGGGAAGAGTGACGGAATTCGAAGGAAAGAGCCTCGACCAGATACAAATTGAGCCTGAAGGTAATTCTTGATATTATTAAAATATGTATGATTTTTTTCCCCTAAAGGCCACTTGTATTTTTATTTTCTGTGCGACAGGGAGAGCAGTAGAGATCCTCTCACAAACGGACGGGCTAAAAGAAACTTCAAGCGGAGAACCTTCAACCATTCATCCAGATGCACCCCATGGTAGTGGCAGTGCCCCTTCTGGTAAGTGTACCAGGTGGGGGATTACAGCCAGGCTGCTTGGTCCTCACCCTGGGAGTGTATATTGCTAATATATTTTTATTTCTCTCCCTAGAACGTGTAAGAAAGCCATGGTCTGCATCTGAGGTGAAGGCTGTGGAGAAGACCATGACACCTTTCATACAGACTGGAAAGGTCCCTGGGAAGTCTCACTGCCTGGCCTGCATTAATGCCTCACCAGATGACCTTAGACATCGGACATGGAGTGGCATTAAATTCTATGTCAAAAATAGAATCACTGCAATTCGAAAACAAAATCTAAAATAAAATTCCTTTAAAATAGTTGTTTGGTTTCTATTGACTGTTTTGTATTACTTAAAGTCTTGGTAAAAAAAGATTATGTCTATGGGTCCCATTCTGAACGGCCCTGTCAAAGGGACCCACCAGGTAACAAAAACGTGTATGTGTGTGTGTGTGTGTGTGTGATGCTGTATGTATGTGTGTGTGTGTGTGATGCTGAATGTGTGCGTTTGTATGTGTGCGTGTGTGTGTGATGCTGTATGTGTGCGTGTGTATGTGTGCGTGTGTGTGTGTGGGATGCTGTATGTGTGCGTGTGTGTGATGCTGTATGTGTGCGTGTGCGTGTGTGTGTGATGCGATATGTGTCTGTGTGTGTGTGTATGATGCTGTATGTGTGTGTGTGCGTGTGTGTGTGATGCTGTATGTGTGTGTGTGTGTGTGTGTGTGATGCTGTATGTGTGCGTGTGTGTGTGTGATGCTGTGTGTGTGCGTGTGTGTGTGTGTGTGTGATGCTGTATGTGTGCGTGTGTGTGTGTGTGTGATGCTGTATGTGTGTGTGTGTGTGTGTAATGCTGAATGTGTGCGTGTGTGTGTGATGCTGAATGTGTGCGTGTGTATGTGTGCGTGTGTGTGTGTGGGATGCTGTATGTGTGCGTGTGTGTGATGCTGTATGTGTGCGTGTGCCTGTGTGTGTAATGCGATATGTGTCTGTGTGTGTGTGTATGATGTGTGTGTGTGCGTGTGTGTGTGATGCTGTATGTGTGTGTGTGTGTGATGCTGTATGTGTGCGTGTGTGTGTGTGTGTGATGCTGTATGTGTGCGTGTGTGTGTGTGATGCTGTATATGTGTGTGTGTGTGTGTGATGCTGTATATGTGTGCGTGTGTGTGATGCTGTATATGTGTGCGTGTGTGTGATGCTGTATGTGTGCGTGTGTGTGTGTGATGCTGTATATGTGTGTGTGTGTGTGATGCTGTATGTGTGCGTGTGTGTGTGTGTGTGATGCTGTATGTGTGTGTGTGTGTGTGTGATGCTGTATATGTGTGTGTGTGTGTGATGCTGTATATGTGTGTGTGATGCTGTATATGTGTGTGTGTGTGTGATGCTGTATATGTGTGTGTGTGTGTGATGCTGTATATGTGTGCGTGTGATGCTGTATATGTGTGTGCGTGCTTGTGTGTGTTTGTGTATGCTTGTCACATGGAGTCTGTGAGTGAAGAGGGCTTTATTCTATTGAACTAGATTAGATCTATAATCTGATGCAGAACGTCTGTCTTTGAGCTTAATGCGGCTGTGTGCTCTCTCTTTCAAATAAATACTAAAATACTGTATATATAATACAAATATAATACAAACTATTATACAATTTTTTACTTTGTTTCAATCATATTTGCTTGTCATTGTTTACAACCCAATTTATCGCTTGGGTGCCCAAACATTTTTTTCTCATAAAAAATGCACGTTGTTTGTTCCCAGCAGAAAAAAGTCTCATAAAAGTTAAATGTTGAACAATAATTATTATACTACTCCATTTCTTGTGGGTTGAGCCTACCCTAGCTTAAGTACCCTAGCTTTAAATGAAGTTTGGACACAGTGTAGATTCTGAATTAAGACAATAATACAATGCAATTCACGTTTACCC